TGTACGACAAAGCACGCTGCACGACGTGTTTGTAAGGATTGGAAGGAGCGTAGTGTTGCAATATACAAGTGCTTAGATGTATCAAATAATACTGATTAATATTTATGTATCCAGTTGAATGAATTGGTCTCAAAATTCTGGATTGGTTATTGTACGAAGTTGCGCAGTAGGACGGAACCCAGTCATCAGGAAACGAGACTGTTGTGTAATATCAATGTTTTGACTTGGGGGGCCGTCATTTGTTATCCCTGTTTTGTTTTAACAAGCTGCAAGCTTTGATATCGCGCTCAGACTAACATTCAGACGCCTGGCAACAGAAGATTGGTAATCTCCAGCGAGCATTCTTTCAATGGCGATTGATTCTTTCATTTCTCAAGAAGTGCCTGCGTCAGTTCCAGGGCAGACGATCTCTAGCTCAAACTTGGCGTCCATGACAGTCCTTAAGATGTTCCACACATGACCTCTGCGCCATCTCAAGTGGCGGTTTTCTCGGAGCATGCGCCACTCTAGATGTCCTTGACTGTGCCTTTGTGAGAACTCACGTCTAATCGGACAACGTGTCTTCAGACCCACAGCTTTCCCCTGATGGTTTCAAAAATGGACTCACACTCTCCATTGCCGGCGCAGTTCTCAGGCATGGCCTCACGGGTAAGGGGTCATTTCACCCCAGGCTGTTTCACCCCATTAGGTTGTTTCACCAGCAAATAATAATTATTATTAACTATAAACTTGTTTTATTCATCTATGTATAGTGTTGAATCAGGTTAATCTGATTGTTTGAATAATTGTATCAGTTCATATTGGCTGTGTTGGATATTCTTGTAGGTTAAAAGTAATCCTATACAGAAACTATAGACAAGTAAATAGTCAGTTCATTGATAGTAACAATTTACAGATTGAATTTACTCATTGGACATTTAGACCCCATCTCAACACAGACACATTAGCACTTACCTGATTGTTGCAAAAACATTGCCTAAATAGGGTCAACAGATTTAAGCATTAATACCATTCTCCATGTATACTCAATTACTTGGGTGAAACAACTCTTGATTAGGGGTGGGACAACCCCAAGTATGGGATGAATTGACCTAGCTTGATATTGGGGTGAAACGACCCGAGTGAAACTACTTGGGGTGAAACAACCCGGGATGAAACTACTTGAGATGAAACAACCCGGGGGAAACTACTTGGGGTGAAACAACCCGGGTGAAACTACTTGGGGGTGAAACAACACCTAATATGGGATGAACTGACCTAGCTTGGAATTGGGATGAAACAACCCGGGTGAAACTACTTGGGGTGAAACAACCCAGGAGTGAAACTACTTGGGGTGAAACGACACCTAATATGGGATGAACTGACCTAGTTTGGAATTGGGATGAAACAACCCAGGTGAAACTACTTGGGGTGAAACGACCCAGGTGAAACTACTTGAGATGAAACAACCCGGGTGAAACTACTTGGGGTGAAACTGAAACTAACAACCCGGGTGAAACTACTTGGGATGAAACATGGTGAAACTACCGGGAAACTACTTGGATGAAACAACCGGGTGAAACTACTGGGGTGAAACAACCCGGTGAAACTACTTGAGGTGAAACAACCCGGTGAAACTACTTGGGGTGAAACAACCCGGGATGAAACTACTTGGGGTGAAACGACACCTAATATGGGATGAACTGACCTAGTTTGGAATTGGGATGAAACAACCCGGGTGAAACTACTTGGGGTGAAACAACCCGGTGAAACTACTTGGGATGAAACAACACCTAAAACTGGGATGAAACAACCCGGGTGAAACTACTTGGGATGAAACAACCCGGGTGAAACTACTTGGGGTGAAACAACCCGGTGAAACTACTTGGGGTGAAACGACCCGGGTGAAACTACTTGGGATGAAACAACCCGGGTGAAACTACTTGGGGTGAAACAACCCGGTGAAACTACTTGGGGTGAAACAACCCGGACCTAGCTGAAACTGAGGTGAAAAACAAACCCGGGTGAAACTACTTGAGGTGAAACAACCCGGGTGAAACTACTTGGGGTGAAACAACACCTAATATGGGATGAATTGACCTAGTTTGGAACTGAGATGAAACAATTCGGGTGAAACTACTTGGGGTGAAACAACCCGGAACCGTCATCACGGTCATTGGTCTTCCAGACCTTAGATAATTCGTGACTTTTACGGTGACCATGTGTTTCCTCTGAAGTCCACTAATAACCATGTTGTTGATGTTACAGTAAGCACCGACATTCCACAGGACATGCCTGCGTCATGGCAATAGCCATTCGTAACTACTCGCCTCTTTCCGTGACCTACAAGAAGACGCCATCCGGCTTGCCGCAATGACACGAGTAGTTACGAATGGGCAAAGACTTGCCATCGGGTATTTTCTGAAAGTCTTGCTATGTCCCTAATAGTCCATGTGTAATACTGTCATCTTTATCAGTTTTGAAAACCGAAGTGCAATTTATACCACGTGCTTGGCTTGTATGCTAGGATAAGATGGCTTGTGCTAAAGACTGCCCATGGATCCCGGTGGTGCTTAATATATGTCCATGTGTATCTGTTACTGTATCACTACTGTTCAAACTTCTCAAGGGCTCTCAAAGATGAGTGATTAAGTTTAGTTTTACGCTAAACTCACCAATATTACAGCTATATGGCGGCGGTCTGTAACTAATCGAGTCCGGACCAGACAATCCAGTGATCAACAGCATGAGCATCGATCTACGCAAGTGGGATATACGATGACATGTGGGTCAACCAAGGCAGCGACTCGCCTCTTACAAGAATGGGTTACTGAAGATCATTTCTCAAAGATAAAACAAAGGAGAGTATCTATGTCAAACTTGTTGCCATGGAAACGCCAAAAATATTTTTCATTCAGAATTTCAAAACTACCAAAAGGCACCAGTTCACCACCAGATCTATCTCCATGTGCCAAGTTTGGTGAAGAAACATTGAACGGTTCTAGAGTCATGTTCGAAAAGACATATATGCACGACGACGCGACGACGACGACGACGAGGACGGAGTTCATTTATCAATACTTCCCCAAGTAAAACGCTTTTATGGGGATAAAACGTACTTGATTACCAGCAACTGTTCACCAATATGTGGTCTAATTACTCTTCTTTCATCCCTTCTCTACATCTGTTCCATTACAGAGGTGTGAGGTGTGAGTACTGATCAAAACCACCAAATGGGGACAGATTCCAGGGAGGGTTCTGACCATGGAGGCCACTGACTACAGCCCACAAAGGGCAATATTTATCACGCAACATATGATAAAGCTTTATCACCTACTCTTATTACTATCAACACCAACATTTCTTCAATATCAGGAGACTGCTGGATATGCACAAAATGTCATTTAACATATTGTGAACATACTCAAATTTGATTTGAACAGTAGAAATATAGTATGACCAGAAATTATTGAGAATTTTAGGAATATGTTTAATTGGATTTCTAGTATAAACAACCTTGACCAGCTATCAAGTGCTTGGTTTCATTCAAGAGAGACAACTCCGTTAATACTTTTTCATTAGTTTGTGAAGAGTTATCCCCCTTTGTTTACTTGCTAGCAGACGACATTTTCAGTGATCCTCAGTATGGAAGTTTAGAGAAGTGGAAGTTGATTTTAGAGTATTATAACAAGGACATCAGATCAGCTAAAGTGATTTCAAGTAGAACAGGCATCCCTTTGTCCACTGTTTATCGTGTTTTGAAAAATATTGCAAATGGATATGGCATTGAGCACCAGAGAGGCGCAGGAAGGCCCAGAAAATTGACCGTCGGTGACAGGAAGCGGCTTGGTATTCTTGTTTCTAAAAAAACAAACGAAGGAGTTTAGAAAACTTAAGGCTGGATATGATTGATAGAGGACTGACTGACTGACTGAGTTTATATTATATACCGCTTTTAGCAATATTCCAGCAATATCACAGCGGGTGACACCAGAAATGGGCTTGACACATTGTGCCCATGTGGGAATCATACCGCTGCCTCAGGCTTGACGAGCCAACGCTTTGAACCACTATCAGGCTACCCCAATACTCGATTGATAGAGGAACTGTGGCTGTCTTTTAAGGAGACAATTAGAACTGAGCTGCATGCAAATGGGTTGGCAGAAAAGTCGAGGAATTCCATCACCGATCATGAAACCTGAACAAAAGGAGCTTAGGTTGAACTGGTGCTTACAGCATAGAAATTTTAACTGGGACAATGTGATTTTCTCAGATTTAAGTTGTGTGGCTGTTTCCTAAATACACTGAAATTCTGACCAAACAAACTGAAAACCTTTTGTATCATGCTTCCAAAGCACAGTCCGGAAATTGAATGAATGGCATATCTGTGTGTTAGGGCAACGCCCTGTGTATTTGAAGGGAATATGAACAGTGAGCGGTACACAGATATTTTTTGAGGACATTTACTTCCATCTGCTCACGTGTTTTATGGAAATTTGTTGATTTTCCAGCAGGACAACGCTCAAAGCATTCTCAGGCCTGGTTTCAGACCCAAAATATGACATTATTAGATTGGCTGCTATAGCCCCGACCAAAATCCAATAGAAAATGTTTGGGGACTTATAAAGGAAAGTGTCAATAAGAAAAATCTGACAAATATTGTTGAAATGAAAGAAGAGATGGTCCGAAGCATTGGGATTGCAGCATGGACCACTCTTTACTTTCTAACTTCTTTGATCAGTAGTATGCCCCGTCGCATTGAAGCCTGCATTGCTGCCCATAGTGACTTGACAAAATACTAATAATTCACCTGTCTTTGAATCTGGACTTATGTTCTGCTAATATTCACATTTAATATGTAAGTAATGAGCTAATAAATATATAAAAACTTACAATCTTTAAATTCTCAATAATTTCTGGTTGTACTGTACAACTGTTTAAAGCTTACTTGTCACGGACATGCACTATTTTCAATGTCGAAATTCTGGAGATGCTGGAATAGAGCAGATAAAACCATCATGTTTTGTTTTAGCATTTATTTAGCACTGACGGACGCCTGTACAGTATTAAAAATAATATAATGATGTTAAATCTTGTTAAACGCCACAATGTCAACTGACTGGACGAAATCTTCGAAGGCTGTGATGTTCTCCTCCAGGAAATCTGTGCCAACCTGAAAACACAATAAATAAGTCAGTGAGTGAGTTTAGATTTACGCCCCTTTTAGCAATATTCCAGCAATATCACTACGGGATAGTGACCAGAAATGGTCTTCACACACTGTACCCATGTGGGGAATTGAGCCCGAAGTCTTCTATGAAAGTGAGCCGGAGTGGTGAGTGAGAGTGAATGAGTTGGGTGTTATGCTGCTTTCTGCAATAGTACAGTTATATCACAGCATCTCGGAGGTGAGAACAAGTAATTTGTTTCAGTCAATTACCCACAATCATGGATATATTTGGCGAACACAGGATTGAACCCACAATCACAGGTTTCTGGCATCACCAATGGTACCCAATGGCTCATCACAGCGCACTGCGGCATCTGAGAGGGCCAATCATGTGATTGGTGCAACATGATGAATAGCCATCGGTAATCCCACTACCATGGTTACCGTACATGATCTCAAGCTTACCATCACCTTACCTTGTCATCTTCCACTACACACATGATCTGTAGTTTGTTGATTCCGTAACCAACTGGAACGAGTTTCGCTGAAAAATACACAAAGACTTGCTTGAATGGACCTCCCAGAATATGCTGCATGATTGACACCACCTATACAGGCTTGGATAAAAACATTTAAATAGTGCTTGAAATAACTTTTGTAACACATGCATATTTAGCTACTTTTGCAATAAACAATAAGTGTTAGCCACTGATGTGCAATGTCCCCCGCTAAAGAATGGAATATCTATATTTACTACTTTTATTTTTGGGTCACATACAAGATGCCTGAAATGACTGGTGTCTGCATAATCACCCAATGTAGGCTGTCAATCAAACTTGAAAAACATTGGGTGCAATGTTTTATGAGATATCGCCTTTAAAAGCGTGTCAAAGTATCGTGGTGACCTTGAAGATAAGGTCAAGGTCACCCAAATATACTGGTGTCTGTGTAATACCCCAATGTAAACTGTCACCAAATTTGAAGACTGACTGACTGAGTTTGGTTTTACGCCTTTAGCAATATTCCAGCAACATCAATGGGGACACCAGAAATGGGCTTCACAAATTGTACCCATGTGGGATTCGAACCCGGTCTTCGCTGACGAGCCAACGCTTTAACCACTAGGCTACCCCAATCACTTCCAAATTTGAAGACATTGATACAACAGTCCATGAGATATCGCTAACAAGAGTTAAAGGTGTGAAAAGTGCCGTGGTGACCTTGAAGATAAGGTCAATGTCACCTAAAATCAACTGGTATCTCGTAATCCCCAATGTATGCTGTCACCAAATTTGAAGACATTTGGTACAACAGTCCATGAGGTGCCGTGTTAAGAGTATGAAAAGTGTTCAAAATGTTGTGGTGACTTTGAAAATGAGGTCAAAGGTCACCTAAATAAACTGGCTTTCATGTAATCCCCAAATGTAGGCTGTCACCAAATTTGAAGACATTGGATACAACAGTCCATGAGATGCCGTGTTAAGAAGAGCTTGAAAAGTGTTCAAAATGTTGTGGTGACCTTGAAAATAAGGTCAAGGTCACCCAAATCGTCTAGTGTCTTTGTAATCCCCTAATGTAGGCTGTCATCAAATTTCAAGACATTGGATACAACAGTTCATTAGATATCAAGCTAACAAGAGTTTGAAAAGTGGTCAAAGTGTCATGTCGACCTTGAAAATAGGTCAAGGTCACCCAAATCGACTGGTGTCTGCATAATCTCCCAATGTAGGCTGTCACCAAATTTGAAGACATTGGGTACAACAGTTCATGAGATATCGCGTTATCAAGAATCGGGACGTATCGCATTTTGACGCTGAATACATAGTCCCCGTTCCGTGTTGCAGCTGGGGACAAAATGTGGGCTTTCAATTTAGGCCCATCCAAAATTCAAGATATATGCAAAAGTAAATGGACTCCATTAAACTAGAAACGGGGAGGTAAATTTCAAGAACTATCACAAAACCTATAGCTGAAAACACATCTATCTCCACAGCTGACAATACTTAAACGACCCCAACAGCTGACAATACTTAAACTAATTCCAACAGCTGAAAATACTTACATGACCCCAACAGCTGACAATACTTACATAACAGCTGACAATACTTACATGACCTCAACAGATGAAAATACTTACATGACCCCAACAGCTGACATTACTTAAACCACCCCAACAGCTGACAATACTTTAACAACCCCAACAGCTGACAACACCTACTTGACCACAACAGCTGAAAATACTTACATGACCCCAACAAGTGACAACACCTGCATGACCCCAACAGGTGACAACACTTACATGACCCCAACAGCTGACAATACTTACATGAACCCAACAGCTGACAATACTTACATGACCCCAACAGCTGACAAAACTTACATGACCCCAACAGCTGACAACACTTACATGACCCCAACAGCTGACAACACTTACATGACCCCAACAGCTGACAAAACTTACTTGACCCCAACAGCTGACAAAACTTACTTGACCCCAACAGCTGACAAAACTTACATGACCCCAACAGCTGACAAAACTTACATGACCCCAACAGCTGACAACACTTACATGACCCCAACAGCTGACAACACTTACATGACCCCAACAGCTGACAAAACTTACATGACCCCAACAGCTGACAACACCTATACATGAACCCAACAGCTGACAACTCCTATACTCTACCCCAACAGCTGACAACACCTGCTTGACCCCAACAGCTAACAACACTTTACCTGACCCCAACAGCTAACAACACTTACCTGACCCCAACATCTGACAACACTTACATTACCCCAACAGCTGACAACACTTGCTTGACCTCTACAGCTGACAACACTTCGACCCCATGAAATCCCCACATGAGTATGATCCCAACAGCTTTGACAACACCTGCTTGACCCCAACAGCTGACAACACTTACATTACCCCAACAGCTGACAACACCTATACGACCCCAACAAGTGACGATACTTACATGACCCCCACTTGAGTCCGTCTGTTTCGACAGATCGAACCTTTTGCTCGAGTTCCTTCATGTCTGTCTCATCATCCCATGGCTTCACTTCCATGATGATGTTGCTCTTAGCGATGAGAACAGGCTCTGGGAACACAAATAGGCTGTTAGCAGATACTGTTCAATCATGTGGATGTACATTTAGTTAGTTTGCGAATCAGTCAGCGAATCTGACCACCTGATCTTGTTAGTCACCTGTTACAACAAGCATGGGTTGTCTGAGGTCTGTGAATGAGATCACCTACGCCCACATCATTTGGAGTGATTGAAGATACTGCCAGATCCCAGGTGAGGCACTAGTCATCATCTCAGAGATGTGTCATAAAATCATCCATAGCAACACAATCATGTGCAGCATTTACAAAGATACAAAGAAATAATTTTACTGTAGAGTAAAATTGATATTTTATACTTATCCTGACTCATGCTCTTTTGCTTGTCTTCTTCTTCTTGCGAACATAACAGTGGAAACACTTGTATCTCCCCTAATTGAAGCTCCCTTCAATGTATAATCACTAATTAATACTCACCATGACTTGCCTCCCTTTGTCCCCGGCGGCGGAAAGGTGGCTCCACCCTCTGGCCACATGCTTCACTCTCTCTCCTTATTTTTCGAGTCTAACACTTGAATTTACGGGAAATCCAAAGTGTTATGCGGGGAAGGATGGAGGGAGCTTACCTCATGAGTCAGGATAAGTATAAAATATCAATTTTACTCTAAAATTACATATTTTTCCTTATCCTGACTCATGTTCTTTGCTTTTGTAGTATCAAGACGGAATCGGAGGTGGGAAAGAGTAGAGACTTTGGATTTACTTCAGATTAATTAGTGATTTATATATATATATATATCTGTAATAACCCCTGACGGGAACTTATAATGGCACTGAATTGTAATCCTTTGCTATTATAAACTATAAGTTTATACACTGCCTAAGACAAAAAGGGGTATTACTATACAAAACATACTATGAACATAGCAATAAGTATATATACTACTCCAACATGGAGAAGTTATCCAAAATGTACATAAATATCAGTACTGGGCTTAAGGTTAGACTTAAGCTAGGTATATCAATAGCCCTAACAACTCCGTAGAGAGTTTTAAGCTAGATAATACATGTATAAATATACATAATACTCTCGTAAGACTATGTCTTATCGCCTACGAGGGACTGTCAACTGCTGTCATGAGGACCATAGGACCGAAATGGTGAATACCTGAGACGCCCCTCGGTGGTGATATCTCTCAGATAGTGATTAGCAAACACCATGTCGGATTTCCAAAACATCCCTCCATGATTGTATTTAGTGAGCAGTTACCGTGTAGCTGAGCGTGGAAGCTAAGGCTCTGATTTCGGTGAGGATTTGCTGCTCTTGGAGGGTCCAGTCCAGCCGCCTTGTAGGTATTGCAGTATGATGTAGTAGTTCTAATCCATATAGATATGGTGGTACGAGAGACCTCGGTCTGACTTGTCGCCGCTAAAGGGATGAATAATTGCTTGAGATGTCGGGCGCCTTGGTTTGGAACGTCAGAGATAGATTTTGAGAGCTCTGACTAGGCATAGAGATAAGTCCAACGTGATCTTGAGATCCGAGAATCGAGGATAGTGCAGGGATATGGAATAATCTGTCTGGTTGACCTGGCAATTGATTCTTAGCTTATAAAGTCCCATCGCGAAACCCATGTGCACTGTGTTGTGATTGTCATCAAACTGAATCCTCTCGTAATCTAGGGCGAATTTCAGACATCCTGGCTGCCGTGAGCTAGCGATTACAGGAAAACCGCTTTCTGTGTGAGAGAAGTTCAAAGTTCGTTGAATCTAACAGTTCATAACTATCACTTCTATGAGGTGTTGAAGCACTATATTTAGATCCCACGCTGGCGCCGAATTTCAATCTTTCTCTGATCTTCCAAACGAAAAGAGCAGCGTGCGCAAGGCGAAAGTAACTCTGTCGCCTTCGCTAACTCTGACACCCGCTCTCATGGTAACGACTCGAGCTAAGCCGCAAGATATGTTGACAATGTCGAGCCCCTTCAAATGTTTCTTTGACGTAGGTAACACAGATAATCAGCCACTTGTGGATGTGTAGCATCTCTCGCTGTAAATCCAATTTTTGCTATCGTGAAGTTTTCAAACTTTGCCACTTGTCGTCGCATGCCACGAGTAGAATAGCCGCAAGCAAGCGCGGACTGCTTTTGCCTCTCTTGTTCAAACACACTTTAATACAGTCCATAATGCGCGAAGTTGGTACACTTCTGGCTCTCGCGCCTTGTTTGGTGTGAGGATGTACTAGTAGATTCGAAGCTTTGGTAGCTTTAGTGTTGGTTGTCCGATTTCTGAATTAGAATGGGAAACCACGCTCTGGCTGGCCAGTAGGGCTAAAATCAAAGTTAGCTGTAGCCTCTGTGTTTGTCTGATTTTCTGTAACACTTGAGGGATTAGCACTGGCGCTGGAAACGCCAGACGCATTGAAGCCTTCCCAGGATATGCTTAGAGCCCCCATTGCCCATGCTTGTGGATCCTGGACAGGTGATACCTAATGTCGCTAGCTGATTGTTGAATCGAAAGTGGCTTAATAGGTCTACTAGCTGCACTCTTAATTGTTTGATAATCTGTCGCTAAGATTTCTGTATGGGGCATCCATTCTGTCGGTGCCGGTAGGCTTGGTCGAGAGTGCGCCTGCTAGTACATTCTTGGCTCCGGGAATGTGACATGCTCTGACATGTAGGTTGAGATCGCTGATTAGATCGAACAGTTGAAAAGCATACAGTCAATAGGCTTGATGATCTCGTTAAGCCTTGCTTGTTCACAATAATACCACCGTTGAGTTGTTGGTATGAATCATCAGATGTGCCTGTCCGAGAATGGTACTCCAATGACGTGTTAAGCGCTGATTACCGCTTTCATCTCTAACATGTTTATATGGAGCTTGCTTTCTTGCTGATTCCATATGCCCTGATACGTCGTCCGGTTGGTGAGATGAGCTCCCCAACCTTGGAGCGGCACGCCGCCTACATAGAGATGGGTTTGGAATTCGCTCTGTTAAATAGATGCCTTCTCGCAGACATTCGACTCCTGGTCCACCATAGTAGATGAGGTCTGAGGTGTACCGGTAGACTGAATGGTTGTAGATCGGGCCGAGATGAGCGCTTGATGAAGACCTGTAATGGGCGAACTGTAGCCTGCCTCTTAATGTCAAATCTTGGGCTGACGGAGGAGACCCAATAGACTCCTGCCATTGTCGAAAGTGGTAACGGAGAGAGTAGCTGGTGGAATGGTCTGTTGGATCTTGAGCCAGCGGTCTTCTGAACGACAATACGGTTTGAGCGCCAGTGATAAATCAAATGCCTAGAAACTGCAGATCTTGGCGAAGGTACTAGGTCCGGGATCTTGAGTAGATTTACTAACCATCCCAGCTGTGTTAGTAGCTTGATGATGTAGCTTAACTATAGTTTGGGGACGCTCTGTAGGATCTTGATCTACTTGTATCCCGGGTCAAGTCGAGGTAAAACGCACTGCATAGCCCTTTGACGATGTAGGTAGGTGACGATGGGTTTCGTTACTCTTGTAAATAACCATGGGGCTGATGATATTCAATGGGAGTTACTTTCCATTGGTAATGCAGCCCGGCCCAGTGTAAATCGTAGGTATTTCTTGGATTCGGGATGTATCGGGATGTGAAGATAGGCATCTTGTAGGTCTATACTGGCCATGTAATCCATGGACGGATTAAGCGTCGTAACTGGGGTAGATATATCATCGCTAAACTTCGGTGGTTTGGCGTGAGATAATCTCTCTGCTGAACATGCTCATGTTGTAGATGAGTCTGTATTTCTCCTTGGAGTTTTTCTTGGGTACTAGGAAAACTGGGGAGTAGAAACCTGGTTCGATGTTTACTTGATCAAGTACTTCTATGGCCTGCTTGTTCAGGAGGGAAGTAATGGCCTCTCTTAACTTTGGTAGTTGTTGTGTCTTTGAAGTCGAACTTGTAAGGGTTGACTGTCAGCAGAGGCGCAATGGCCTTTAGTTGGATAATGACTATCCGTGATGAAGAATGTTGGAGACATATGGGTCTTGTAACATTCCCCCAGTTCTCCCAGTATAGTTGAAGGCGGCCCACCCACTTCGTTGTACTGGGAACGGCTGGGGATGGAAGACTCCAGTCGTCTAACCTGACTTTCAGCGCTTTATAGTTGCGGGAACCTCTGGGTGCCCTGCCTCTTCCCTGATCCTCCTCTGTAGTTGCCAAATGGGCTTACTCTAAAAGAATCTCTTCCCCTGGAACTGGCTATCTTTTTATCCCGTGCTCTCTGTAATCCAGTGAATTTAGATTTCCCTGAATATCTTTGTGAAGTTTGTCTGATGACGCTGACTAAGCGATCCATTGACTTAATCATAAGGACTTCTCTAGAATCCTTAGTGACTTCCTTGGAGACTTTCTCTATTCCTCCATCGAAGATGGATGGAGCAGACCACGGGGCTGTATAGAGTGTGGAGCTGTCAACTGCTCACCCCAGTTGCAGGAAGCGCAGGAGGCCTTGACGACGGGCTATGGTTAAGGCTGCTGAGACTGATGTGAGATGATCCGTAAGGAACTGCTGGTCCTTCTTCTGCATAAGAAGGGCCGGAGTAAATCATTCTATCATCTTCAGATGTCGCGTCACCGCGAAATCTGGTGATAAGAGTCTCATTGATTGTTCTAGATCTATTAAGGCCAAAGAACATTCGCCTAGTCATGGTTTCTAACTGAACCAACTTGGCGATCGTCAATCTTGTAGTTCTTGTTCTTGACATCATTGGATCAACTTGTAGTTATGCGTCTATGTCTTGTGCCTTGAGGAACGGTTCCATGTTGTGGGTTGAAAACTTGTTAGCATGGAACTGTGGTAAATGTGCTGTTTGGACTTTAGTGGCTTTGTGGAAGGCTGAGTCCAAATTCTTCGTACTGCAGCAATCGGGTCGATCGGTGGTAAGGTGATGGCATCAGCATCGCCCTCCTTCATCAAATAAAGTCTCGCGCCGCAGTTGTTACTCTTGGGAAGGTGAAGAAAGGTCTAGGTTGTTTACCATCCAGTATCGTGATCTCAGCCGCCTGAGGAAGATGATGCCTCATCGCCTTCTGTAATGGGATCGCCGATAAGAGGTTGATGCTCTTGTGATGGCGGTATATATGGTTCTATCGCTGTACATGGTGACGATAATGGAGACCTGACTTGGGACTTCTGTGAAGACCTGTGTGGAGATTCGTGTGGAGATCGATGTGGGTGGTGATCGGGCGAGGTGATCGGGCGAGGTGAAACGGCGAGGCTTAACAATATGATCTTGGTGATCGGCCCTGATGAGCTGGCGCGCCTTGACTTCGCTGAGAGATCTGTGAGGTGAACGCTTGATAGCTTCGCCGAAGCCCTTGAGGAATCTGCAGATGATCGTCTGACGAAGATGATTTAGAACCTGCTACTGGTGTCCTTCGTTCGAAGCCCTTTCGAAGCCTTAACTGTGTCTGGTTCTGGGGAGTTTCGGACTTCGCCGAAGGCTTCGTGAAGTCGGGGTCCGAAGTCTGAGTCCGAGGGGCGACGTGAGTCTTCCTTCTGGAATCTTTATAAGAGTGATGATCCTCAGAGTCCGAAGGTGATGATCTGCATGATCTTCTGTATCATGTCGTCTGGGATGGTCTGCGACGATGTCGTTGATGCCCTCTCTGCGATGTTAGCTTACCGGCCCCCTCAGAATGATAAATTAGGACATCAGTGTAGAGACATCAGAGCTGCCTGGTGATCTCTGCTGGCGCTACTGTAGCTGACACCGGATCGTCAGCTTCTTGTGGTGTACATCGGGTATGATGATCGGGCTGAATCAGTCATACAGGCCCAGTTCAGCGGGAAGAATCTCGGCTGAGAACGCTCTAGCTGGCTTCATAGCTTTTCCCTTGGAGGTCGACGCTGCCCTGGGGTACACGGAGTTTACACTGTGACGAAGTCGATGCCCTCTTAGACTTCTGCTGCGAAGACAGGATGTCTGGGGAAGCAGGACGCTTCTTGAGCTGACGTAGACTGCATCCCACGCCCTGCTCGGCGGAATCTCTAAGCGGAACACCAGACGGAGAGAGGGTCAGATCCGACAGCAGTTGACTGGCTAGAGGGTCTGATGTATCGCCATGCCTAAGGCTTGTTTACGTGACCTATCTGCTGCACGTCTCAAGACGCTAAAAGCGATATTTGTTAAATGCAGAAATGGATAAATTAATACAGTAACTGCAACGTGGAAGTAAACGCACAAAGCGTAGTACAGCTAGGACATATTAAATGCGGGATCAGCAGGCAGAAAACGTAATCTACTAAAACAGTACAGATTTTCATCCACGTAAACTAGGCTGAACAATCACGAAACCGTGAATAAACAGTAGAATTACGGTGTAATAATCAATACATATTGTTAAAGGATACTAGCTACACCTCTTTTAGTAAGGAATAAGAGGTTACTGTATCCCAACAATCATGAAATTATATCCAAGAATGTCTCACCCACATGACAAAAGCAGGATAGAAAGCATTACTATCAATCAGTGAGGACTGTTTTACGCCGCAATATTCCAGCAATATATGGTGGGGGACACCAGAAATGGGCTTCACGCACTGTACGCATGTGGGGAATCAAATCCGGGTCTTCGGCGTGACGAGCAAAAGCTTTAACCACAAGGCTACCCCACCTCCCCGACCACCTGATAGATCTAGTTGTCCTTTTCTCCAGGATTAATTGCTGGAAACCAATTTTTCTCAGACTTCCTGGCAGTCTGGAGTTGTGATTAACCCGAACTACTGGTCAACAATTTCAGGTGCACCATGTTTCTCACAATGTACACTGTAATCTGTACAGTCCCAAGGTTGGAACTTAATGATTACCTATAGGCCTCAGACTAGTAGAAATTACATCGGACAAATAAAATGAAAATTCTATTAACTGAATAGGAAAACTGACTTATGCTTTAAATTGCAATCACTCTTTCAATTTCCCAATCAAAATGCTGCACTAGATGATACGTGAATGCATTTAAGGCACCTTAAAAATTTGTAATGACTTGGAGCATTTTGCAGTGTTTGCTGAAACAAAATCCCACCAGCCCTATTTTGTTTGTTTTTTAATCAATTTCTATTTCTTGCACTCCAATTCGAACTTTGTTTTCAACAGATTCCCCTGGATAAATACAGTAGGCTCTAACTGAATGACACCAGACCCCTGAAGATCCGGGTTAGAATTGACCTTCAGCAACCCATGCTTGTCGTAAGAGGCGACCAACGGGATTGGGTAGTCAGGCTCGCTGACTGGATTGACACATGTCATCGGTTCCCAATTGCGTAGATCGATGTTCATGCTGCTGATCACTGGATTGTCTGGTCCAGACTCGATTATTTACATAATCCCGCTATATAGCTGGAATATTGCTGAGTGCGGCGTAAAACTAAACTCACTGACTGTATGACACCAACAACACTCGACTCACTCTTTGCCTTCCTTGCAGCGTACTCTGCCACACGCTTCTTCTTCTCAGCTTCAAATGCTGCATCTGCTTCATCATCAGATCCAAACATGTCAATATCATCGTCGTCGTCGTCATCAACAGGCTTCTTGGATGCTGCAGGCTCTGCCCCTTTGCCACCGTATGTGCTCAGGTCTTTCTTCTGGCCAGGGAAACTATGGGTGCAGACAAGCATCATAATGTCCCTATTAGTAGGGTGAGGTGAGGTGAAATTGGATTTAACGTCGTGTGTGTGTATATGCGGCTGCTTGTACTAGCCCAGAGTTAAGCTGGTTTTATAGTGCTAGCCCATGGAGATACCATGCCGCAGTGAAGCATGGATACCCCACTCAGACACATTATACTGACTCCGAGCCGACCAGTCCTTGTTGTGCCCATTAATGCTGAGCCAGGCAGGGACCAACAAGTACCATATTTTAACGTCTTTTGGTATGACGCAGTCGGGGATCGAACCCACGACCTTCCGCTCTCCGGGCGGACGCTCTAACCACTACACCACGGAGGCAGTCCCTATTAGTAGGGAGGTCAGGTAAATTTTGTACATACATTTCATTTATCCACAATCTACATATACTAATAGTTCATGCATCAGTCAGTTAAATACTCTTTTCCTTCTTGATTATGTGAAAAACATTTTGAGATTTGGCTGTTCTAGTAAGCAAATAAAGCGGCCATTTGCTTTCAAAGATGGACCCGCTTCTCAGTTTCAGTTTCCTTCTAGGAATATTTAGTTTTACCTGTTTCGGTCATTGCCGTAAGAGGCAATGTGGTTGTACCATCGAAGGGCATGAGGAAGACCGGCCCCAGGTGCCCCGGACAATGCAGAGAATACAACATTGTCACCTTGAGATGGGGTGTACCTGGAAGCAAACAAAACCAATAAATCAACAGTTTGAGGGATTTACCATGAGTCCTGTAATTGAGGGTCCCTGGGACTTATACTCTTAATTTCCAGGGGTCCTGGAGAACAAACAGTCCCAAACACTTAAATATTATTATCAATACTAAGTTGTAATATTGTTGTAATTCAGTTACTGTTATTGTTTTGTGTATCATGATCATCATATAATTAAATTGCAAATAATACCATAATCCAGATAGTTGAAAACTCAGAGAAAAGTTATTGTTACTTGATTGGAATTTTTTAAAAAAGTATTTGGACTTTTCCCGCATCCATGTGGATGCACTAATAAATTTTGTTGCGTCTCTTGTCAATTTTTATGCATACAGGACGCAGGAATTCGCGTCTCGTAAATCCTGGAGTTTAACATACTCAGTTCTAGACAGAACTAAAGAACACTACAGTGGCCAGAGACTCATTATTGATGATTTCAAAGTTACTGTTTTTGTATATGATTTTTGCAATTGTATATGAATATAATTGAAAGTTACAGAAACAAATGTATAATTATTCTGATTCTGATTAAACAAGAATTATTAGAAAGTTGTCTAATAAGGTGACAACAGATTGACCAGTCGGAATTTACTGCTGTCATACTTGTCATTTCAGCCATTGTAAAACTTGGTAGATCTTTTGTGCCTTCACACTGATAACATACAGTGCTGTGTTCTAAATGTTCAGTGACAACATATTTCTAAATTAGGCACAGATGCATTTGATTTCACACTATAGTCCATTTGGCTCAAAAGCGGACCGATGAATTGCAATCTAACTCGAAAACTAATAAACATAACATACTCAATGAAACGCTGATCATAATCAAAACATCATACCCACACTGTGAGGTTTTTGCAGAATTTTTGTCCTAAAAATAGGAAAGTTGTTTAACAAACTATCATTAAAATATTGACACAGTTCACTGTTTGTTACGAGGGAGGAGTGAAGAGAAAGGGACAGCCAGGTGTTCGAGAAGCATGGTCACAGACAAAGTTATTTATTCATTAACCTGTGCTGTGCCGTCTCCATCCGTTCTCGAACACCTGGCTGTCCCTTTCTCTGCACTCCTCCTTTGTAACAAATAGTGAACTGTGTCAATATTTTAATGATAGATTGTTAAACAACTTTCTGGACAAAAATTCTGCAAAACCTCACAGAGTGGGTATGATGTTTTGATATGATCAGCGCTTCATTGAGTATTTTATGTTTATTAGTTTTAGCCAATTCATCGGGTCTTAAGCTGTACTTCAGTTATACTTCACAGTCTGTCACCTCAGTGTTGAGGACACTACAAAGTCAAACTGACTTGTTACCACTTTGGTAAAATGTATGAGGTACAGTATGACAGTTATTTATCCAGTATTTTGAACAAAGTACCAATGGTAAGCAATACTTTAGTTCAAAATTTGGATTATTTAAAGTTCTTACATCATAAAATTCAGGGATGGGACAGGTGAGGTGAAATTGCACGCCGTGCTTGAGAATATTTCGGCCATATGACCTTACGCGGTATGTGCGGCTGCTTGTACTAGCCCAGACTGAAGTTGGTTTTAAAGTGCTAGCCCACTGGATACCATGCAGTGAAGCATGAATACCACTCAGACACATTATACTTTCTAATGTCAGTCCTTTTGTACCCATTAATGCAGAGTGCAGGGATTGACCACAAGTACCATATTTTAACTTCTGCTCTCCTTCCGCTCTCCTAAAATTCAGGGAAGGCCCTTCCTTCACTTTGTATTTTGACATGGCATTTGAGACATTAATACTCGCATTACAACCTCTATCTATTCATTATCAGTAATACACAGGGACCCATTTCCCACAGTGATCTTAGTGTTACATTGATCATCAACTAGTGTTGGGAATTGGTTGAAATCTCATAATTGATGATTGGTTCATTACCAGCAAGCAATCATCGAAAAAAATTGGTTTGCGTCATTTGCAGATTTTCCTGTTCAGGTTGTTAATGCACATAAGTATACAGAAAAGTTTTTCTGTTTGTTTTGTTTTTTTATTCAGAAATTGCGCAAAGTCCACATCCAATGTAAAATGATGCAACTTGTGCCTTAAAGGGATGACTTACATATCATGAACATAAACCCACAGTCCTCAAGAAATATTTAGTCATGACTTTTCAGTAAGTGAAGTTCTCTAAACATTAACACGTTTGCAGACTCTGACAACTTCTAAGATACGTTCCATCGTCAAGTGTTTCAAACACTAAAACAGTAGTTTCAAAGTCGTTTGTGTTCGATTATGAGAAAAAGTGATCGATTGTTGGTCGTTTGGTCACTGCGACCAATCCCTGATTATTTCAATTAGTCGGACCACCACTATCATAAACCCATGTAAAAGCACTGAAGATGCCATCTGGAGATACCATCAGTGCTCAGATCACTTCATGGAACAGGCATAGATTGATGCTCATGCTGTTGATCACTGGATTGTCTGGTCCAGACGCGATAACTTTACATTACACACCACCACCATATAGCAAGAATATTGCTGAGTGAGGCGTAAAACTAAACTCACTCACTCATGGAACAGGCCTCAGGTTATTTCTGCAAAGCCATAAAATTATTGCATCCATTTAGAAGAAACTGGCAACTTTTAATTCATCATGTGGAAGACACAAGGTTCAGATTCTGAGGCTAAAAGGAAGCCTCTGAGCGGGTCCAGTTCCATACGATGCATATCTTTTTCAAAAAAATATGTCTTACTCAACACATGTTGCTAGTATGCGAACTTAAACTCAACTGGACAAAGCATCTTCCAGTGCCACAGACAGCTTGGCTAATCCCTTCCAAACCGAGTTTTACATCAAATTTCACCTGCCTTCACCTGTAATGGGTAGCCTGGAAATATTTTGCTTAACGAACCACAACAATGTTCACGTAAATCAGCGTCACTGATAAGCATTTAAAGATGTATAAAAACATCAAAGATTAAAAAATCAAAACAGCTGGGTTCCATAACATTTACTAGTACTAAAAGAAAAAGAGTAAGACATTCATCTTGCGTTGACATGTCATCATTTGGCTACACATGGTGAACACTCACGTAACAGGTGACTGAGTACATTGAATACAGAAACTCGTCGTCAAATATAGTTTACCCTTCAATATAACTGCGGTCTGCGAGGTATTCGTTTAATGCATCTTGGCCAGCCTTCGATTTTAGGTCCCCGAAACCCATTTTGTGTAAAGGTTTTTAAGCCAGAAAGAAAACGTGGTCCGTCTCGTGGGAAGACCGGAAGTAAAAGGCCGCTAACCCGGAGTACGGAGTAAATGAATTATTGTTTGGTAGACATATTATATTTAAATTTACTGACAGCGAAGCAACAAAAATAAAGTAATAATATAGAATCATTCAAATGTTACATATCATTACAAACTGATAACACTAATTCCGCAGACATGTGGTTAATGTGAAAAGATAGACTATTATGTTGAAACGAAACTAAATGTGATGCAAGTCCCTAGTACAGCCTTTGTCAGTCGGGAGAACATGCATGCTGTGAAGTATCTTCAATCTGATTGGTGGACTTTGAGTTTCATTCTCCAGATTATTGAGTTTTGCAAAATATGGTCTACTCCTACTTTTGTTCGCAACTCGTGGTACCATTATGTCTCTCGTCACGGTTTTGTAAAAATATAATAAATCATATCTTCCCCCAAGCTAGATTTTTCGGTCATACACACAAGATCGGAGATTATGTGGAAAGAGTGATACTTGTTTTGTATAATACCTCGGTCCTGTTTTCACTGCATTTTCCTATTTTTTAAAAATAGTTTCCATAATCGTACGCAGGAATCTCGACCAAATAGATGGGTGGATGGATAGATAAAGTGTTTTTTGAAGTTTTTATTAAATGTTACTGATATTCCGTTATAGACACTGCATACGAGTCAATTCTAAAAACTGCATTATTCCTGATTTGTGATATCCTATGGTCGTTATCAAATACACTGGAGGCAACATGTTCATGTTAAAATTATTGCAGGTATGTATTGGTCTCTGCTGGTATATATGGCCCATGATCCTCATTATGGTTTAAAGTGTTAAAAGTATTACGTTTTAATAGCATTAAGATTAATATCGAGCTAGATGATGATAATAGAGTTAGTATTATTTAAGATAAGATAAGATATAACTTTATTATCCCTGAGGAAAATATTTTTGCATAAGATGAAAATAATTGATACTTCCTGAATCCTATTCCATTCTGATCTCTTATATACTCTGTAATAAAAAATGCTCTCCAATATTCATCACTGCATTTTGCGTCTTCTCTCAGGTTTCATCTATTTCAAAAAATATAATTATTGATGTTGCATAACCAATTCCCGATCCGGATATCATTCCAGACTTTATACTCGTATCACAGGGCGCTGCCATATTTGTGTCATTGAACAGACTTTCGCTCGCAGGGGTCGTTTCGAGGGTAGGAGCTCACATGGTTATGCACTCCTTTTCTTAATTAATAGTTGCATTAAATCAAATTTCGTAAAGAAATTAATCCTCCCCTGTCAGTGTGGTTGAACGCGGCAGCAAATTCTCCAAACTGACCGAATATTATGCAAGTGCGCCCCTGCGTATTTCATACCATGCCTTCTCAGTTTTATTTCGGAAAGTTGATCATCCTAATGTGGATTTGAATGTTCTTAGAACTAACAGTGCAAATAGCAGTCAGTGAACTGACAAATAGGCCCATTAGGGCAACCATGTATAGTCCGTTTGGCTCCAAAGTGGACCGATGAATTGCAATCTAACTCGAAAACTAATAAATATAAAATACTCAATGAAACGCTGATTACGAGGGAGGAGTGCAGAGAAAGGGACAGCCAGGTGTTCGAGAACGGATGGAGACGGCACAGCACAGGTTAATGAATAAATAACTTTGTCTGTGAACGTGCTTCTCGAACACCTGGCTGTCCCTTTCTCTGCACTCCTCCCTCGTAAAAAACAGTGAACTGTGTCAATATTTTAATGATAGTTTGTTAAACAACTTTCTTATTTTTAGGACAAAATTCTGCAAAAACCTCACAGAGTGGGTATGATGTTTTGATTATGATCAGCGTTTCATTGAGTATGTTATGTTTATTAGTTTTCGAGTTAGATTGCAATTCATCGGTCCGCTTTTAAGCCAAACGGACTGTATATATGGGTTTTTTAAAAAATTTGAAAGGCAAGTTAGTAATTTGGGGCAAAGTTGCGTGAACTATTGCTGAAGGGGTCGCTGTCAGCACGGGTACTGTAGATACGTACACATGTAAGCAGAAACGTACCCATGGTAAAATCAGAATACTGAAAAGTACACCTCCATTCCATGCAAAGAGCATACGCAATGGCGAATATTTACCTGAGCTGCTGGGGTACATATTATGTAGTACGTACTAGTACCCTTTGTAGACAACAACACTTTCAGCTTATCTAACAGGTTGGGGAAACCTACCTATCGGATTGGCCTATAACAGGCCAAACGGGATATAATAGGCCGTTCTGCCTATTTTGCTATAGGCCTGATTGGCCTTTAATTATGATATTTATCAAATAAATTTAAAGTGGTGCATTTCAACATGAGGATATTAACACCATTCAATGTTGATGTCCTAAGGTTTTCATTCAAAAACTTTTTGAGCATTTTCATCACATAATAAAGGAGTTTGGAAATTGCTAATTAAATATACAGCGTGATGACAGCGTATTTGCGACTTTTCAAAATGGCGGAAGTAAACACAAGACCGTATGAAAGCTTTAAACAGCGATATTTAACAAAATGAAAGATGTCATACCGCGGTACTTGGTCAAGTACACCGTGGAGTTCGTGGATGGCGTCATACAGTTCGTCAGTGGTCAGGATAGTTTGTGATCGTTGCTGCAGTGTTCTTTTGATGTGTAGTCATACATTTTCAATAATATTGAGATCGGGAGACTGTGCAGGCCAGGTCATGCAATTTACAGCATTGTCACGCTCGTATTCCTGAATAATTCGTGCCCAATGCACTGGGGCATTGTCATCTTGAAACCGATATTGTTTGTTGTTGAAGTGCTGAGCTATAACGGGCCAGAGGTTGTCTTCAAGTATTTCATGATACTTGACAGCATTAATATTACCATTAACACGACACAAGGTGCCAACACTGTACCGTACATGCATTCGGGACAATAGGCTTCATGCGCACTTCTCCAAACGAAAACTCTTCCATTCTGACCAATAACTACCTGCGATTCATCACTGAAAACACCCGTTTCCAATAATTTTGCACTGTCCAAATTCTCCTTTCCAAACACTAGTGAAGTCGTTTTCTTCTGTTCACTTCCTTCACAACAATACGCTTTCTAATAACCTGACGAAAATCACCATTCCGATGCAAAACTCTTTGAATCATTCTACTGTTTACTTGTTGATGTTGACCAACATTTTAATCATGGGTAATGTCTCTTAGAATGTTAAATCTATTCTTGCATGTTTACTACTAATACTCAGTATTCTCGGCCTACCACTTCGTCGGACGTTTTCAACATTACCACAATTCAAATATTTTTGCCAAACATACCCAATTGTTGATTCAGGTATACCTAATAATTTCACAATGTCAAAAGTTTTCTTTCCATTCAGTTTCAAATCCACAATTAGTTCTTTCATACTGATGTTGAGTTCCTTTGATTTTCGACCCATTGTTTACAGCAGACGATTTCTGCATTCCAAGCAGACGACATATGACGTCATTGCACATGCGCACTAATCGTATATCAAGTTCACAAGCGCCGTATCAAACATGAAATCTGTTCAGTATTTGCAAAGCAAGAGACAAAATACAAGATGTTTCAATCAAAGCCGAACGGCCATACTTGCCAAATCGCGAATACTTTTGTCAGGACGCTGTAAGTCTGTAATATTTTTGAAAATTTTCACTGAAAATTAATGACATAGATATTCAGTTTTAGTTTTCAAAATAAAAATCTGTGCAAAATTGTGTTCTTAAATGAAACATCTTTTCCTGAACATTATATAAATTTCCATTTTGTCCAAAAACTTATTTTTTTTAAGCTGAGGAGGTCCATTAACTATTCATCTCTATGATCATTTAAAACCATTTGATAGTTTGTGAAATAATAATAATGGTCAAATATAGCCTGATCGCCTATAGCAAAAGAGGCAGAATGGCCTATAATATCCCATTCGGCCTTTTATAGGCCGATCGGTAGGTTTCCCCAACCTGTCTAATGTGGCCAAACATTTGACTTGTTAAGACTGAAATCCATGATTTAGAGCATTAAGAATAATGAACAGAATGCAAACTATCAGGATTATTGTCACACGCAGATTGTTAATAAAAAATCATAAAAAACATGTACTTTTCCTTATCCTGACTCATGCTAAATGCTTGTCTTCTTCTCCTTGCAAATGATAGTGGAACACTTGAAATCCCTTGAAGTTCCCTTCTAAAAAGCAGACGTAAAATCACCACTTGCCCACGAGTTACCTTCCTTGGCGCCCTTTTGGTCACCTGACCGGCCATATTTTTGTTACACTCTCCTTCTTCGCCCTTGAGGACGGTTGTGAGAGCACCTGGGTCCCTATATGGCACATATCCTTTTCTATTTTGGACCCTACATCAAAATTATTGCTGTATACGACTTTTAGGATTATATTCTACTATATGGTTTGAAATTTGATCTAAATTATACGTTGTTTGACATGGTTTTTCATCGTGTTTACATTTGATGAAAACTTGTGTTTGTTGTAGTTACCGACTGTCTGCGGCTGACCCACATTTATTATGTCCTGATTGCTCTACTTCATGTTCTTTCAGCTCTCACTGTAAACATTGTCTGGAATAAACCACTCTTGAATTTAATAACTACCATTTTTCCATTCATAGACGTGCAAAGGACTGGGTAAGAAGGTATTCAAAAGTCACGTCTAAATTGAGTGATTGTGCTGATAACCGTGTATTAAGTACTGCTGCCGATGTTCATAAATCCAGTGAATTGCAGAGCGTTTTACGGGGGCAGGTCACTGTTCCAGTGATGAACTCTGGAGCCAATAAGAGATCGTCGTCAACGGAGCTGACCTCTTCGCAGACGAAGAAGCCTAGATCGTCTTCAACGCAGAAAAAGAAGGCTACTACCCCAAAGACTTCATCGAAGATATCTCAAGAACCATTCACTGGACTTTCTTCATATTTGACACCAAGCTTCCAGTAGATTTTGGTGACCTTCACATAAGTTTCAAGGTCACTGCGGCACTTTGAAGATTTCAGCATCTTAAACTGATGAGAGCCGTTATACTAAGGGCCTACAAAGCAGCAGGACTTGAGCCTCCTCGAGCCTCCAATCCCCACGAAGTCAGAGCCCTGGTGTCTACACTTGCTCTGCATGGAAACTGCTCGATTACAACAATAATGGAGGGCTGCTTTTGGAAATTGGACACAGTATTTGCCAACCACTACCTCAGAGACATTGCCACCGACGACGTCTCAGGCATTCACCAGTTTGGGCCACTTGTTGTAGCACAACAACTAACGGTTCCACAAAGGAGCTGAGAAAAATCTGACCCTTTTATCACGTGACTTGTGAAAACCAACGCTCTGGAGAGCAAATGGTTCAAGTCCATGCACACGTCTAGGACAGGCTAGCATGAGTGATAGACCCTGTACTTGTATAGGACATACTTGTACATGAAGAAGGGTCACATCTCCACTTGATGCACGCATCAAGAGATGGAGTTGCAATAGATAACTAATGGAACATTAGTATATCTAAAATCCACATGGAAATGTCAGGAGAAGTTTCAGAAGAAATCTGACTAGTGGTTCCCCCCTCCCCAGACTCATCAGTGGAAGTTGAAAGAACAGAATCATCAGCAGTGCCGTCATAAGTTCCCATGGGGAGTAATACAGGACGTAAATCAACAGCCAGAGAATCCAGAAGTGGCCTGACCCACCACCGATTCCGACGGATTCTGCAAGAGTCAGATTAAGGAAAAATATGTAATTTTCTGACTAAAATTGATATTTTATACTTATCTGGACTCATGAGGTCAGCCCTCCCAACCTCCCCTCTTATGGAACTCTGGATTTCCCTGTAAATCCGGGTGTCGGGCATACATACGGAGAGAGTGACAAAACATGGCCGGTCAGGTGACCAAAAGGGCGCCAAGGAGGCAAGGGAGGTAACTCGTGGGTGAGTGGTGATTTTATGTCCGCTTTTTAGAAGGGAACTTCAAGGGATTTCAAGTGTTCCACTATCATTCGCAAGGAGAAGGAGACAAGCATTTAGCATGAGTCAGGATAAGTATAAAATATCAATTTTAGTCAGAAAATTACATTTTTAATCGAAGGGCATTGTAAGGCTACCTCATCTTGCATGTAAGAGGCTTGCAAGATCACCAGTCTATCTTTATGATGTCCACTCAAAAGTGCTCAAGGAGCTTGCTAATCATTTTCTGTGGGAAAAGAATTTACCGATAACACTGAATCTTTCAGCGTGCATGAGGACAATCATATTCTTTTCAAACCTTTTGAAACTCTTTCACACATCCTGTTGTTTTTCCTTCAGAATAAAGAGTAATTGATCTTTAAATCACAGTTAGTGTTATTTCATGATTGGTTCTTTTTTCCGTTTCAGCGTAACCTGCTGACAGATCAGGATGCTGCCTCTGATGCCCGTTAGGAGGGCTCTGTCGGCTCACAACCTGCTGAAGCATGCATGTAAGTACGGGTTGATTGTAAATTTCATCACTGTGTAGTACTGAATGAACTTAGAAATATTTTGTATTTAGGGCATTTTCTGGTAATTTAGTACATGAGCACATGTCATGGATTTGTTCAGAAAGTTGATGCAAATTTATTGTCATGACAGTACTATCAGCAGTTTGAATAAACATGGCATTTACTCAGTGTGAACATGATGAATGGAGGATAGAATGAATTGTTAAGTAGATGCTCATATGTGGTAATTATTGGTATTTACAACATTTTCAGTTTTCATTCTTCTTGTTTCAGTGCGAGCCAACTCGACAGGTGCCCCAGAGAAAATAGAAGTATTTGTTGATGACAAGAGTGTGTTGGTAGAACCAGGCATCACAGTGCTGCAGGTAATATTGGATGTCTTGTTTACAGTAGAAATAGAATGCAAGCCACCCTAATTTACATGTAGTCAATATTCTCATGCTAGTCTTCTCACGTTTATCCTACAAATGCTATTGAATGTGTGGCCAAGCCATCAAACAGGCATCCTTTACAGAGTTGTTTCCCTCTGGCGTAACAGGATCCTCTGATCATGGCCGTGGATGTTAGATTATTTTCCTTTGTTTATCAGCACCATAACAATGTTTATTGATGTCAGCAAAGTTTTTAACGTCTTTGATGTGTATCACATGCACTATCCTCCCGCATGAAATCTTGGCTTGTGTGAAGTCCCATGTCATGTTCCTTGTTGCAGGCCTGTGCTGAGGGGGGTGTAGAGATTCCTCGGTTCTGCTACCATGACCGTCTCTCCATCGCTGGAAACTGCAGGATGTGTCTGGTGGAGGTGGAGAAGTCGCCCAAGGTACTTTCTGCCTCTTTGTTGACAAGACTCATTGAGATCCGGGGTAGAATAGGTCTTCAGCAACCCATGCTTGCCACAAAAGGCGACTATGCTTGTCATAAGAGGCAACTAACGGGATTGGGTGGTCAGGCTCACTGACTTGGTTGACATATGTCATCGGTTCCCAATTGCGCGGGTCGATGCTCATGCTGTGGATCACTAGATTGTCTTGTCCTGACTCGATTATTTACAGATCGCCGCCATATAGCTGGAATATTGCTGAGTGCGGCGTAAAACTAAACTCACTCACTCACTTTGTTGACAATCACTGACGCCGGGGAATAATCTCACTGCATTCTTGTTTTTTATCTATCCTGGAATTGATCACATGTGGAATAAAGAGAACAGGCTACATTAAAGATGAAACCTTTCTCTTATTTACATTAAAAATGCCAAACATCCCGTTTGTTTCTTTTCATTTCACTGTTGTATTTTTATGTGTACCACTCATCTTTTGGAAGGCATTATTATGTTCAACTATTGCGAACTGATTGCCAAAATATGTCAAGTCTGGGAGAATGACATGTCTGATTATCCGTATATGTCGGGGAGTGTAAGTTGGTGGTGGTCCGATTAATTGAAATAATCGAAGATTGGTCGCAGTGACCAAACGACCAAGCAATCGATCACATTTTTCATAATCAAACATAAACGATTTTGGAACTACTGTTTTAGTCTTTGAAATACTTGACAATGGAACATATCGTTGAAGTTGTCAGGGCGTGAAAACGTGTTTAATTCTTAGAAAACTCACTTCACTGACTGAAAAGTCATGACTGAATATTTCTTGAAGACTCCGGGAAGTTTATGTTCATGATATATTAGTCATCACTTTAAAGTAGCAAGTTGCATCATGTTATACATATTTGCAATAACAACCTGGATAGGAAATCTGAAAAATGACGCTAACCAATTTTTTTCGATGATTGTTCGTTGGTAATGAAACAATCATCAATTGTGAGATTTCAACCAATTCCCAACACTAGTGTAAGTTACCACTACCTAAATGACTGACTCTGTTGTGTTTTTGTAGCCGATTGCCTCGTGTGCGATGCCAGTGATGAAAGGGATGAGGATCAAGACTGACTCTCCTGTCACCAGGAAGGCCAGGTAAGCAGCTTCCTGCAGCCATCAAAAGTAGTCACAGAACATGATGACTAAAGTGATGATTGGATAGCTGTGATGTGTGAGATGCGTGGATAAGTACTGTGAGTCGCTGGTTAGCCTGGACCAGATCGGACATTTGACCTTGTCAAAGGTGGTTTTCATCGAGAGCTTAGCTTGTTTCTGTTCTTTGGAGTGACTTTTGTTTGTTTTGTTAAGACCTATCTAGATTATGGTATCTGGTGGATAGAGCACCTGTCCAAAGAGCAGGTTTAGGGTTCAGTCCTGTGTTGTTAACATGTTAAAAACTGACACTTATTGTTACCCTGCCAGGCTGTTTGCATTTACGATAAAAAGGGCTAGTTGGCTTGCAGTCAGTATACTGTCTCCCCTGATAAATCTGTTGGGAAAATTAACATAATTGCAAATGAACCACGTACCTGTGATTCATTAGCCTGAACACATTTACATACATTCATGTTTGTAGTAAGAAGCGACTGGGGCGGTGGGGTAGCCTAGTGGTTAAAGCGTTGGCTTGTCACGCCGAAGACCCGGGTTCGAATCCCCACATGGGTACATTTTGTGAAGCCCATTTCTGGTGTCCCCGCCGTGATGTTGCTGGAATATTGCTTAAAGCGGCGTAAAACCAAATTCAGTCAGTCAGTCAGTAAGAAGCGACTAACGGGATTTGGTTGTCAGACTTGCTGACTTGGTTGACATATGTCATCTTATCCATTTGCGTACATTCAATGGTAATGCTATTGATCACTGGATTGTCTGGTCCAGTTTCGATTATTTACAGACTGCCGCCTTATAGCTGGAATATTTCTGAGTGCAGCGTTTAGTGACAAAAAACAACAACCAAAAAACAATACATCTAGATTTCCATGATTTCACATTGTTTTCAAGTTGTATCTTTTGTATTTGATTAGTTAACTGTTTGATCTCCTCCACAGAGAGGGTGTGATGGAGTTCCTGCTGGTGAACCACCCCCTTGACTGTCCCATCTGTGACCAGGGAGGAGAGTGTGATCTGCAGGTCAGTGCAACATGCTCAAGTAGTGGACAGCTTGACTCTATAGTGCCTGTAAGTCTCGCGAGGCCGTACTTCTGGTACTAAGCTGGTTCCCGGTCCCCTTTGTGCGCACCAACTTATGATATGCAAGACTGGGCCCAGCTTACTTCCGGTACCAGATTTCTGGTGACAGTATATTCAAGAACAAGTTTTGCATCCAAATTGCACGACCACCAAATATGTTTTACTAGACAGGACCAAGTATACAACCATGGTTGGCTGTCACAGCTGTTGACAGTCGTAATAGTTGGCTAATTTGGGTATGGTTAGATTGGAAATTTGTTTTTCCTGCAAGGATTATCGGTTCCTTACTGTCAACTGTCAACCATGAGGCCATTCAAAAAGGTATGAAACATTGTCACCAGAAGTACTAGGGTCTCACAAAGTGCTGTGACCTACTTACAGGCCCTATAATGTAACAGGCCATCGCTGTGTTCTCGTGGATGGAGTGTCTACCTTGACAGTGGAAGGTTTGATTACCATCTGTCATATATGTGTCATGCTGCTGTTGAAATTCAAAATTTGTTGTGTTAGGTTTGGGAAATGAACCTTTATCAATTGACATTTGTTTTGATTGATGTGTAATGTGATGTGTGTGGTTGTTATCAGGACCAGTCGATGGCTTTCGGGAGTGACAGAAGCAGATTCACAGATACTCACTTCACTGGCAAGAGGTGAGACTTGTACTTGCGATTAATATTGGTCATTTCAGAACTCATCCTTTGTCTAGTCTTATAGTCAAGTCGTCTTTTCTCTCTCTGGTTATATACTCCCCATCAAAAGTTTAGACTCACTAGTGTAAATGTAGCCACTTACTTCAGCCAACTGATCTTAACTAGATTTTGCAAAATATTCTATACAGTTTAAGGGTACTGTTTACACATGAATTGATGTATTGTAAAACAAATTTGTAACGTTGAAAAGATTATTGTCATGAGTTCAACAAATTATGAAACTGAGTGAAAATTGGCGAATTCTTACTGACTGACTGAGTTTGGTTTTTACGCTGCTTTTAGCAAGATTACAGCAACATCATAGCAGGGGAACACCAAAAATGGGCGAATTCTTAACAAAACTTTACACCAAAACGCAGCTGTTCACATGCACAATATTTGCACATGCTTTTCAGCAATTTGATGCATGATCCTCGTGCAATTCATATGCATAAGGTTTGCATGAGTTAAATGTAGAAATTCATCTTCGATGTAACCACATATATATACATAACATATAGTGAGTGCTTTAAGTGAATCTAACCTTTTGATAGGTAGTATATGTTACCAACTTATAAATGCTGGTACTTGTTGTTGCCCTGCCTGCCACTCTGCATTAACAGTATAAAACAAGGACTGGTTGGCTCAGTCAGCATACTCGTCACAGGGGGATGTCCCAATTTGAAAAGCAGCTCAAGTTGAGGATAGTACAAGCAATAGTAATCTCACGATACATAAGTTTCATGAATCGATACGTATCACGATACCCATGTCATGGTTCGATACGTATCACGATACCCATGTCATGATTCGATGCGAATCACGATACCTATTTTCGTGGCATTATTGTGTAAATTTAGTTACATCTTTCATAATTTATAATTGTCCATGAAAAGATGAAAACATTTTTGATTCTCAGAGATTCAGTGCTTCAGCCAGGCAAGCGCCATTGCGCCATTCACACTAAAAAATATATAATGGCACTTTTTTCCAATGCTAGAGCGCCCATTGGCACAACATTTAATATAATCCACAGGTCTTCTATACCATGGTTACCATGAATGGCAAAAGTCTCAACTGCATTGGCACACATTTTAGTAGTTAAGGTGCCAATTGGCAACACTCAAAAAATCCTGGCTGAAGCACTGGAGATTAAAAATTTCTAATTTCCCATCTTTGAGCATGAAAAATAATCATTTATAACTTTCATAACATAAAAAAACATGATACAATTGCAAAATGTAAATGGTACAGAGACATATTAAACCGATACTTTAAAGACTAAATATCGATACAGTATTGAATGTATCAATAATTGTATCATCTTAGAAAAAGTATCGATGTAATGTGGCATCCCTAACAAGCAACCACACATACTCACCCTCACATGCATGCTGCTACAATCTTGAAGTTGAACATGACATTAAACCCTATTGCCTGTCTGGATTTGGGGAAAGACGTTATCCCTAGCACCCTATGCCAGTAGTACAAGGGTACAGTGTGCGAAATAGTTTCCACATTTTGCTCGCCAGTCTGGCTCGCTATGCCCGAAAGTTACCAGCCCACAAAATAATTCACTAGCCCGAAATCTGAATGCAGAAACTAAGCAAAAGATTACAAAAATAGATGAGAATAAGATACTGTCAGCATGACAAGGGTTTCATCATTAAGCTGCTAATATGACGAACATTTTCATCAGGCCATAATCTTGCATGATTTAAAAGTGTATTGTAACTTAACATGTTGGAGAGAGTGATGTATTTACAAAATGACCCCATGAAAATTCACTAGCCTGTCGGGCCAGTGTTTGTGGAGATTTACTGGCCCGACTGGAGTTTTACTAGCCCCGGGCTAATGGGCTTGTGGCTATTTCACGCACTGTAAGGGTACCAAGTGGTCAGGCTCAGTCAGTTGGTTGATGACATGTAACTTTCTCCAAGTGCAGGGATTTTTGTTCACAATGTCAATCACTGGATTATCTGGTCCAGACTCGGTTACATGGTGACATCATTTGGCTGTAAAAATGCTGATTGGCTTTAGTAACAAGCAACAAGCATTTGTAACTTGTAAGTTAATTACAGTCTCCTGTGTTAAAAAGTGGTCACATGTTTATTTTGTTGAAATTCCAGAGCTGTTGAAGACAAAAATGTTGGCCCCTTGGTGAAGACAATTATGACCAGGTGCATTCATTGTACAAGATGTATCAGGTGAGAAGCAGTACATATTAGTCTCATTATAATCAGATCTTTTACTCTGAGGCAATACCTCTCTACCTTTAGGACACCACCATTGAAGAATGACCCAAGTTAGAAGTCAATTAATACATTTGCAGCTGACGACTGAATAGATCTGCAGCTGGAGATTGAATAGATCTGCAGCTGGAGATTGAATAGATCTGCAGCTGTAGATTGAATAGATCTGCAGTTGAAGATTGAATAGATCTGCAGTTGAAGATTGAATAGATCTGCAGTTGAAGATTGAATAGATCTGCAGCTGGAGATTGAATAGATCTGCAGCTGGAGATTGAATAGATCTGCAGCTGTAGATTAAATAGATCTGCAGTTGAAGATTGAATAGATCTGCAGTTGAAGATTGAATAGATCTGCAGTTGAAGATTGAATAGATCTGCAGTTGAAGATTGAATAGATCTGCAGTTGAAGATTGAATAGATTTGCAGCTGAAGATTGAATAGATTTGCAGCTGAAGATTGAATAGATCTGCAGCGAAACCTATAAGCCAGTTTGCACTTGGTGCAGAAGCCCCCAAAGAAAATCGCACCCTGAAATCGAAATGTTTCTGATGGCAGTATTAAGAACAATCAGTCTCGCTCTGACATAAGGGCGGTGGGTAGCCTAGTGGTTAAAGCGTTGACTCGTCACGCCGAGGCCCGGTTCGATTCCCCACATGGGCACAATGTGTTAAGCCCATTTCTGGTGTCCCCTGCCGTGATATTGCTGGAATATTGCTAAAAGCGGCGTAAAACTAAACTCAGTCAGTCAGTCGTTCTGACATAAACACCGGTCCCTGATGTAGATGATTCTTCCTCCAGGTTTGCAAGTGAGGTGGCAGGAGTTGAGGACCTGGGCACAACAGGCCGGGGAAATGACATGCAGGTCGGCACATACGTTGAGAAGATGTTCAAGTCTGAATTGTCAGGCAATGTCATTGACTTGTGTCCTGTTGGAGCTCTCACGTCCAAGCCGTACGCCTTCACAGCCAGACCCTGGGAGACCAAGTAAGTGTGAGATTAACTGGTATCACAGCCGTACCCTGGAAGTTAGAAGTCAATGATTACTGCGATCACGTATCTAACTTGCCTGAAAAACAGGAAACAGTCATCATGGTCATTGGACTTAGCAAATATTGTTGTAAGTGTATTTAAACTTGTTAAGGTGTCATTATGACCTGGTATTGGAGGAAAGGCAACTGATTATTGATCCGAGATGGTTTCTTGTCCTGGTACAATTCACTTGCGTATATATGATGAATCGAACCGTATCCCTTCATGAATTTAATTCCTTATTTGTGGTAACTACAGTCAAATATTTACGAATATTTTTAATAGGGCTGCAACAATTCACCCAGAACTCGATTCGATTCAATATTCGATATTGCACCCTTGATTCGATTGAAGTAAAAACATCAGATTTCATTTAACTCTCAGAGTTGGCTTTTTTAGCGTGAAATCCATCGTCAATTTGGCGAGGTCTACTAACAATCATTTTCATTGGATAATTAGACCGGCATCAACCTATCACGTTTCTCATATTTCAGCGTGCGAAACTGCTCGAGTTAGAGTCAAAATTACATTCTGGCTGTGTGGAAATAATTTAAACTGGCAGTGTATGAAACTCCCAAAAATTTCAGCCAGACCACAGGGCTGGCTAGATGTAAGACTTGAAAGCCCTGACCAAAACTTACCTGCCCACAAAATATGTTCGCATACATGTCTAAATTTTCACCTGACCGCTAGGCAGGTCCGTGTTGAAAAGAACCCGTCCTCGGGCGGTTGGGCAGGCAGATATTTCGAACGCTGCAATTTGTATTCAAATATTGAATCAAAATAGTGATAATGGTTATCGAAACTACAGTGTCAGATTCGATTTTCGATGAATCGAACCGAATCGTTGCAGCCCTTAATTTTAAAAGATTGTTTTACTTGAAACTCGCTTGTTGTTTATGTTAGTGAGATTTTCAAAATGGAACATATTCAAGCATGCAGCAGTGTGTAACTCCTGACATTTGGCCAAGGCCCCTTTCGGCACTGTCATTAGGCTATAAGCGGCATTATTTATGATGTATGGCTTTTTGCTTTACAGATATTATCATTGAAATGTAACAACCTAAGCAATGACATGAAATGTTTGTTATTTTACTTCATTGACATTAAACATAAAGGATTCCTTAATAAATATTCATATTCGTTAATATATTTGTAAAACATTATATTTGCCTCGTAGTGTATTCACTTCATCCGTAATGGTTTCAGTGACAGGAATCTCAAGGTCAGCCTGACATAGATATGTTTGTCTGATTCTTGAAAACATTCCGAGATAAATCTGAGGAACTCTGGGAAGTCAGTGGAGAAATGGCTGAGTTCTTCGTTCCCCCTTGGACATCTAATGCATCACATTTAGATGTAGGCCTTTGTAGAGACATTCAACTTTTCATTTGTAGATCAATAGCTGTTCAGCTATTGACTTTTAGTAACACGTTTATGCTGATGTGTAGTTATTAAGCCCTGACCAAAATTACCTGCCCACAAAATATGTTCGTATACATGTCTAAATTTTCACCTAACTGCTAGGCAGGTCCGTGTTTGAAAAGAACCCGTACTCAGATTCGATTTTCGATGAATTGAACCAAATCGTTGCAGCCCTTAATTTTAAAAGATTGTTTTACTTGAAACTTGTTTGTTGTTTATGTTAGTGAGATTTTCAAAATGGAACATATTCAAGCATGCAGCCATCATGACATTTGGCCAAGGCCCCTTACGGCACTGTCATTAGGCTATAAGCGGCATTATTTATGATGTATGGCTTTTTGCTTTACAGAAATTATCATTGAAATGTAACAACCTAAGCAAAGACATGAAATGTTTGTTATTTTACTTCATTGACATTAAACATAAAGTATTCCTTAATGAATATTCATATTCGTTAATATATTTGTAAAACATTGTATTTGCCTCGTAGTGTATTCACGACATACGTAATGGTTTCAGTGACAGGAATCTCAAGGTCAGCCTGACATAGATATGTTTGTCTGATTCTTGAAAACATTCCGAGATAAATCTGAGGAACTCTGGGAAGTCAGTGGAGAAATGGCTGAGTTCTTCGTTCCCCCTTGGACATCTATTGGGCATTTATATTACCCATGATTTCCATGGAAACGATTTGGACTTAGTCTAAAAAATATCAAGCTGGACTTCAAGTAACTGTCAGATGATTTGTTCTTTCAAATATGTGGGGGCCGGGGGGGATATGTCATCTTCTGATGACTCTTGTTTACCTAGTAGCAGTACCATTACGATTCAGTCCCATAATCAAGGTTTGAAAGACAAAATTGTGCTATGAGCATGGAGTTAAGTCATTTTGCAGACTCAGCTATTTGTTTAGTTGAATTTTTATCCCCCGCAACCCGTTTTGCGGGGGGTATTAAAATGGACTCCGTCCGTCCCTGCACTTTTGTCTTTTCCAGAGCAGAACTCTAAAACTGTTCACTATTTCTTCACCAAACTTGGCACATAGATTGGTCTGGCGGTGTACTGGTGCCTTTTGGTAGTTTTGGATTTCTGAATAATATATTTTTCACATTTCCATGGCAACAAGCTTGACTAAAACTGAAATTAGTGGTAGTGCTCTTTTCCAGAGCAGAACTCTAAAACCGTTCAATGTTTCTTCACCAAACTTGGCACATACATATATCTTGTGGTGTACTGGTGCCTTTTGGTAGTTTTGGAATTCTGAATAAAATATTTTGGCTTTTCCATGGCAACAAGTTTCACTTTGACTGGAATTGGTGATAGTGCTATTTTCTGGAGCAGAACTTTAAAGACCTTTCAATACTCTCCTTCCACTTTTCTATATACACACCTAAATATTTGACATAATCATAACTAGTAGACATAATCATGAAGAGTATTTTGCCATTGCGGGGGATATTGATGACTTTGTCTTCTTGTTTTGTTTTTTCATTTTCTTCATTTCTTTCTCAATATGATATGTGTACAACATAAAATTTGAACTGGAAACGTCTAAATTATAACTTTGTGGAAATTTGTCTTGAGTTTTGTTCTCTTCAGGTTAATGTTTGGATCCTATTTTATACATGTACACAATGTTGTTTCAAAGTTGATAGAGAACTTCAGTACTGAGCAAATTCAGTTCTTTATTGACAGGAATCTCAAGGTCAGCCAGACATAGATATGTTTGTCTGATTCTTGAAAACATTCCGAGATAAATCTGAGGAACTCTGGGAAGTCAGTGGAGAAATGGCTGAGTTCTTCGTTCCCCCTTGGACATCTAATGCATCACATTTAGATGTAGGCCCTTGTAGAGACATTTCAACTTTTCAGTTGTAGATAGTCAATAGCTGTTCAGCTATCGATGTTTGTAACACATTTATGCTGATGTGTAGTTATTAAGTTGCCATGTTTTCATGTGTTTTTTGTTTTGTGATTTCCAGAAAAGTTGAGAGTGTAGATGTGATGGATGGTTTGGGAAGCAACATCGTTGTCACCATGAGGACGAATGAAGTGATGAGAATTGTCCCTCGCATGAATGAGGTCAGTTGCTGCTCATTGATCAACATACATTGTTTTACAACTTTAATTTTATTCTAATTGGAGCAGTGGGGTAGCCTAGTGGTTAATGTGTTCTCTCGTCACGCTGAAGGCCTGGGTTCGATTCACCCCACATGGGTACAACGTGTGAAGCCCATTTCTGGTGTCCTCCGCCATGATATTGCTGGAATATTGCTAAAAGGGGTGTAAAACCAAACTCACTCACTCTATTCTAATCTTTTGAATGTGTTCAAATTTATCATGCAGTAATAGCTAATGCTATGGCTTTAGTAGAGATGTTTTAGAGGTAAATATTTACCTATGTTAGCAATATGAAGATATTTGTCTTTTCTGATAAAGAGCTCTAAGTTGGGAAACCTGGATAAATCCCTGAAACATATGACTGTGTATCTCTATATCCACTGTAGTCAACTGATTCATATATCACAGGCTATCAATGAAGAATGGATCTCCGATAAGTCCCGGTTTGCGTACGATGGCCTGAAGCGCCAGCGCTTGACATCACCGTTTGTGAAGAATGCTGAAGGGAACCTTGTGGCCACAGACTGGGAGAACGCTTTCATCAGGGTGGCACAGAAGGTAGAACAGTTTTCAAAGAACTCTGGGAATCTCGGGAAAATTAGTACCATTCCTGTAATATTTAGGTTTCAACAAAGCGGTGAACTTCTCAGACCTCCATTTCTTCAATCTTTCCTCCAACACCAAGCTGACTTAATGTCATGTTTGTCTGGATTATAGCTCAAAGCAGCATTGAATCAAACTCTAGCAAGAGTCAATGAAAGATGGTACCTGGTATCCTGCTTGACCCTGGGCTGGGGCTGGGGCTGGGGCTGGGGCTGGGGCTGGCGTCTCTATATTACTGAGGATTGTGTAAGCTCTGATGATATGCTTCAATCTAGATTGCAGTATACACACAGTATATAAATTTGTATCTGCAATGGGGTTGCTTTATAGACGAGGATGCTTAGATGGGATTTTGTAGGTCACTGTCAGAGAGGGGTATCCATGGTAACTTGTGACAAGGTATTTCAGTGAGCTGTAACTGTGAAACCAGCATTAGCCTGTAGTTGTACAACATGCAGTCACCCACACACGTGTACAAGCACATCTCTTTGTAGACATGAAACGTGTAATAATCTTGTACATGGGATAAAGCCCCATTTCACCTCATCTCTAGATATCATCCCTATTGTCTGCTCTACAGTTCCGTGAAGTGAAAGGAGACCAAGTGGCGGCTGTAGCTGGAGGCCAGGTAGATGCTGAGGCCCTTATCAGTCTCAAAGACCTCCTCAACAGACTGGGCAGTGAGGGGCTGTGTACAGAGGAGATCTTCCCCATGGATGGAGCTGGGTGAGTTGGTGCTTCATGATGGTATTTAGCTTAAAGTTTGCTAACAGTGGTGTACAACCCTATTGTCCATGTTGACTGAACTTTGAATTCAGCTGTAAATCATCACCACTACATCTCATCTGTCGCCTCTTTTGTTATTGGATGCTGGAGATTGATTGATTGTTGTTTAACGCCTCACTCAGCCAGGGCTCCAGATAAGGGCCATATCGGCGTATGTACGGATAAAAAATATGCACGATACGGTAGGAAATAATTTAGAAAACGTAGCACATACGCACCACAGCAATGCTGTACGGTCTTGGAATCATTTACAGACGTATTTATCTGAAAAAGTATTGTTTTATTGTTTATTGGCCTGTTTACACAAGACTAGCAATGTTGTGGTGCATATATGAAACAAAACACAAGATTACTGATACACCATTAAATTCCATTCAGTACTCTAAATGTAGGCTTAAGGTTTTCGAGTACTCCTATATTGAAAAAATAAGGAGTACGTACTCCTGATGTTGAAAAATTATCTGGAGCCCTGCTCAGCAATATTCCAGCTATATGGTGGCAGTCTGTAAAATCGCGTCACTACCAGACAATCAAGTGATCAACATCATGAGCATCGATTTATGCAATCGGGATATGATGTCATGTGTCAACCATGTCAGCAAGTCTGACCACACAATCCTGTTAGTCACCTCTGACTAGAAACAGGTTTGCTGAAGACCAATTCTAACATGGATCTTCTCTGGTCTTTGGGTATATCTAATTTGAAGAATTTGGGATTCACATTCAAACCATGGACATTTTTTAGATGAGACCAAATGCTCTCCATTGCAGTTACCGCACTTGATAACATTTATACATGGCTTGAATGTCGCAAAGGGTCGTGTACACCCTGTTGTCCTTGTTGACTGAAGGTTAGTGCCGCCAGTTATAAATGGCTTGACTTTTACAATGGGTGATATACTAGTACTATATTGCCTCTGCTGACTGTGACTATTGTTTCAGCACGGACCTACGGTCCAACTACCTGCTCAACACACGTATTGCTGGCATCGAGGAGGCTGACCTGCTTTTGCTGGTCGGGACCAACCCCCGCTATGAGGCGCCTGTCTTTAACGCCAGGATCAGAAAGAGGTAGGGCATGTGTGGCACACTTATCATGCAGGCAGAACCAAATCTTTTGAAACATTTTGTTACAAACAATCTTTAACATAGACACAGTAGAGTGTATGTTGTCATATTTACCAAGTCTTTGAAGGGCATTCAGAAGTGGAATGTATAAGGAAAACAAGATTTATGGATGTCAACTTCTTTATTGTGAATAACATGTTTCGGAGTGTATGCTTGCTCCTTCATCACCTGATACCTCTTACTCCACTAACATCCTTTACTACTATTCCCAATAGTGATTCTTCAGAATATGGTGTAACATGTTGACTCTTATGAGGTCTTTGGTAGCAGGGGCGGTGGGGTAGCCTAATGGTTAAAGCGTTGGCTCGTCACGCCGAAGACCCGGGTTCAATTCCCCACATGGGCACAACGTGTGAAGCCCATTTCTGGTGTCCCCAGTCGTGATATTGCTGGAATATTGCTAAAAGCGACGTAAAACCCAACTCACTCACTCACTCACTCACTTTGGTAGCAGCACATGCTGATCATAAAATCTGACTTAAATGTTTCTTTAATCTGTGGCTTGAATCACTGGATTTTCCTGTCTAGACTGGATTATAAATCCAACATTATTCCTTGCTCCTTCTGTTCTCCTGCATGATGCTGGGGTGGTGGAGTAGTCCAGTGGTTAAACTGTTGGCATGTCACGCCAAAGACCCGGGTTTGATTCCCCACATGGGTACAATGTGTGTAGTCCTATGATGTTGCTGGAATATTGCTAAAGGTGGCGTAAAACTCACTCACTCTGCATGGTGCTGGTTTTGTTTCAGCTGGATCCACAATGACCTACAAGTTGCGATGGTGGGGACACCGGTGGATCTGACATATGAGTACGATGTGAGTCAGTACTTTGTTGCAGCTCCTTGATAACAAGAGTTCTTTATTTGGCATTGTAGATGATGCACTGTTTTCACCAACAGTTGAATCATGTTTTGTCTGACATGGATGTGGGGAATTCCAGGTTGTTTTGAACTCATCTTCTGGTCCCTGTGAATTCCTTAAATATCATCATTTATACTAGGCTCTTGAGTATGTAATCATTAGTATTATTGCTGTAAATATTTGACTGAATACTTTGAGATTAAATTTGATGTGGAAGACAGTAATTCAGTTTTGTAATATAAACAGGTGATATGTTCCCACATGGTATTTGTTTGTCAAGTGTCATGTTTCTGGTGTTTGCAGCAACTTGGGGATACAGCCTCAGTGTTGGAGAGTCTGGCTAGTGGCAAACATCCCTTCTGTCAGGTGAGTCTATGCTCCTTCATGACAAGCAACCGCCTGTGTGGTGTAGTGGTTAGAGCGTGGCGCCCGGAGAGCGGAAGGTCGCGGGTTCGATCCCCGGCCGCGTCATACCAAAAGACGTTAAAATATGGTACTTGTTGGTCCCTGCCTGGCGCTTGGCATTAATGGGTACATCAAGGACTGGTCGGCTCAGAGTCAGTATAATGTGTCTGAGTTGGGTATTCATGCTTCACTATAAAACCAGCTTAAGTCTGGGCTAGTACAAGCAGCCGCACATACACATACACCCGCATGCACGTCGTCATATGAGCGAAATATTCTCAAGCACGATGTTAAACCCAATTTCACCTCACCTCACCTCACCTCAATGACTAGAGTTTTACAACTGCAGGATGAAATATAAACCTACTCTTTCTGGTGTACTGAAATACTAGTTGTTTGCGCAGTGTTATGGATGCTGACAGGGCTAAACTTGATATGATATTCCACTTTCATGCAATTGAAAGACAAACTCTCAATGTCAAGTGTTGTGTCTGTTTCTAGACGCTGAATGCAGCCAAGAAGCCCATCATTGTTGTCGGCAGCAGTGTGCTGCAGAGAGAGGATGGTGCCGCCATACATGCCGCTGTGTCCACGCTGGCCGAGAATGTCCGCTCCAACAGTGGATGTGGGCCAGACTGGAAGGTGCTCAACGTCCTTCACAGGGTAAGTTGGTAATCTTGTAGGAAGCATGTATGTAGTATTGCACACTGTTAAAGGGTGGGGCGGGATGGAAGCAGGGCAGGGCAGGGCGGGCGGGGGCGGGGCAGGGGCGGGGCTTGGGGTTTATTGTGTTCAGTTCAGTTTTGCATAAACTTCAACCTTGGTCCATGTTGAAGATTCTGACTTCATTTTGATGTATTGACTTGGCAGAATCAAACCGCTTAGTCTGTTATTGCTGAGTAAGATATGGTCCCTTGGTCCCTGGCTTTGGTGGTGGCTGGCAGAGCAAGTGGTCAAACTGTGTACAGGCTTGATTAAGCCATATATGCTTATATCTAGCTCAATCTCCATATCTTTCAAATAAGCATGCTGTCATTTGTCCCTGTATTAGAACCATCAAACAAATATGGCTGAGTGGTGTCCGGATAATGGAAGTGTACCAAAGAAGATGGGAATTTCAAAATCAGCCAGACTCAGATGTGTTTGTCTGATCCTTGAAAACATTCCGAGACAAACTGAGGAACTCTGGGAGCTTGATGGAGAAATGGTCGAGCTCTTCGTTCCCCCCTTGAACATTGACATGCTGCCTGCTGGTTTCACAGTGATAATACTGACACCAGTGAACTTATTATGGTGACATTTTGTACATGATCTGTAGTGCTTGAAAGCTCCTAAATCAACAGGCATTGAACCGGAAGCTGGCAGGGGTAATGGAGGCAAAGAACGATTTGATGGTGCATGAGTGACGCTTAAAATGTTGAATTAAATATGTTTTATATGAGTAATTATTAAATAAGAGGTTGGAAATCCAAGAGCACAACCCTGTAAGGAAATGTCTACCTTTGATGGTGGCGATATTTTATTTTGATATTAAAAATATTTTTCGAACCAAAGCGAGGGAAGTACATTGCCAATCTTTGCTCGCTTCGCTCGCATATAGGAAGCCTGGTCATTTTCTCTATTTGCGCTACAGTTTGCCTGTGTTTGGACATTTACAATGTCTCTGTAACGCATGTTATAGCTTGATTAAATGCCACCGTCCGAAAATGTTTGGTGTCTGAAATCATATAGTTGAACGATTATAGACCACAATGATCAAAGGACTCCCTTAAGTTTAGACAAGATCTGATGGAACAAGGGACTTCCCTTCATCATCCCCAGATCCCGCTCATCTTTGGACAAGAACTCAAAGTCCTCTTGAAACCTTTTTTATCCCCCGATACGCGTTTTGCGGGGGGTATTAAAATGGACTCCGTCCGAACGTGCGTCCGTCCGTCCGTGCACATTTGTCTTTTCCGGAGCAGAACTCTAAAAGCGTTCAATATTTCTTCACCAAACTTGGCAGATACTTTGATCTGGTGGTGTACTGGTGCCTTTTGGCAGTTTTGGAATTCTGAATAAAATATTTTTGGCGTTTCCATGGCAACAAGTTCGACTTAGACTGAAATTGGTGATAGTGCTCCTTTCTGGAGCAGAACTTTAAAAACCTTTCAATACTCTCCTTCCACTTTTCTATATACACACCTAAATATTTGACATAATCATAACTCGTAGACATAATCATGAAGAGTATTTTGCCATTGCGGGGGATATTGATGACTTTGTCTTCTTGTTACTATAAGACCTCAGTGATCCCATGAATTTAGTGTTTTTGAACAAGATGCTTTGGTTTTAGTGTGAGACTTCAGTGATCATTAGCCCTCCCTGAAATTTCTACAAGATCTGAAGAATCACATGACCTATTTGTAGGTGGCCAGCCAGGTGGCAGCACTTGACCTCGGCTACAAGGCTGGCGTGGATCACATCCGTCAGAATCCTCCGAAGGTCCTGTTCATGCTTGGGGCTGACGAGGGGGCAATCACAAGAGAAGACCTGCCAAAGGATTGCTTTGTCGTATACCAGGGTGAGTGAGGCTGTGTGGCTGCAGCCTTGGCATCTTTTATGTCTGTTTTGTTATTCCCCGGCATGTAATGCGGGGGGATATAGTCGACGCCTCGTCCGTCCGTAATCATTTTGTTTCCAGAGCATAACTCAAAAAACTTTCAATATTTTTCAGCAAAACTTGGTAGATATATCAAACAGAACCTTAAGTGGTGCCTTTTGCTATTTGCAGAATTTTGGCATTTTTATTTTTCGCGGTTTCCATGGAAACGATTCAAACTTAGTCCCAAAAGGGAGGGGTGGGTTTCCTTTCCGGAGCACAACTCGAAAACTTCTTAATATCTTTCAGCAAAGCTTGGCAGACATAAAATTTGAACTGGAAACGTCTAAATTATTACTTTGCAGAAATTTGTCTTGAGTTTTGTTCTCTTCAGGTTAATGTTTGGATCCTATTTTATACATGTATTCCATGTTGTTTCAAAGTTGATAGAGAAACTCGGTATTGAGCAAATTCAGTTCTTTATGACAGGAATCTCAAGGTCAGCCAGACATAGATATGTTTGTCTGATTCTTGAAAACATTCCGAGATAAATCTGAGGAACTCTGGGAAGTCAGTGGAGAAATGGCCGAGTTCTTCGTTCCCCCTTGGACATCTAATGCATCACATTTAGATGTGGACCTTAATGTTGAGATACTCAACTTGAGATCATTAGTTAGTCAAGAGCTGTTCAGCTGTTGATATTTGTGACAATTTTTGTGTTCTTTTGTGTTTTACACTTTATAATTTTCCTGATAACAAAGCATCTATGCATGTTGTATCAGGTCATCATGGTGACAGAGGAGCTGAGATGGCAGATGTGATCCTCCCTGGAGCGGCGTACACGGAGAAGGATGTGACGTATGTCAACACCGAGGGCCGTGCACAGTTGACCAGGACGGCCGTTACACCTCCAGGTCTCGCTCGCGTTGACTGGAAGATCATCAGGGCCTTGTCAGAGGTCAGTACATTGTGCAAGGTGTAAGCTGGATCAGGGAGGTTTCCATAGGTTTTCATATGTAAGAGTTTACACAACACAACGAATCCTATAAAATGTGTATTTGTTGAAGTTTGTTAACCGTAATGTTAGTGGAAGCATGTAAACCCCTATGTCCTTCTGAAGCCTGTAATCCCTTGTATTTGTACGAGCTTGTAAAACTCGTGTTTGTGCTAGCTGATAAACCCTTCTCATTGTCTGCCAGATGATTGGAGTGACCTTGCCCTATGACAAGATCACAGAGGTGAGGCGGAGGCTGGGAGAGGTCGCCCCGAACCTGGTCCGGGTCGGCGATGTTGAAGATGCCAACTACTTCACACAGGCTCAGCAGCTGGCACAAGTAAGGGTCTTCATTCAGTTTACGGGGCGGTGGGGTAGCCTAGTGGTTAAAGCGTTGGCTCGTCAGGCCGAAGAACCGGGTTCGAATCCCCACATGGGTACAATGTGTGAAGCCCATTTCTGGTGTCCCCTGCCGTAATGTTGCTGGAATATTGCTAAAGGCGGCGTAAAACCAATATCAGTCAGCAGTCATTCAGTTTACACTATAAACCAACTCAGTTTGAAGTAGCCTCACAGAGGATGATATAATACCTTAATAGATGTGTCTTTCTTCTCTGTTTGTGATACTGAGTTACTAGTGTCACTCATGGGGGGTACATTCAAACTAAATGACTTTAGACACCACATGGCTGAAGGTTTAGTAGTTGTTTACAGATGTCCAGCCTGTTAAATCCCTTACACAGTGTTGGTGACCCATGTAGCATATTCGTAAATGTGTTTACAATTACAACGAGTTTGTGGGTGATGAAATACGTTTGTGTGACATAAATAGAACTGCCGTATGATCTTCAGTGGGCATGTTGTAACAAGCAGATAATGGCCTTAACCCATCATGATACTCTCCCACTTGATGAGGTTTCTGAAGGTGGCAACTGGAAAATCTGACAACAGGATTGTATAAACCAGGTTGGTCCCTGCATACAAGTTTTAGTTAAGCCATATTTCTTTGCCTTTACATTAGGATATCAGCCATTGTCTGCCTGTAGTATGTGTCCAAATGAAGGAAAACATTATTTCCCATTTGTGTAAACCTTCCTCAATTTGTATTGTAGTTGGTGAAGAAGCCTCTTGGCGCCAGCCCTCTCACCCCATCTCAACAAGAACTGAAGGATTTCTACATGACCGATTCCATCAGCCACGCCTGCAGACGATGGCCAAGTGTGTACAAGCCTCCAGTGAGGCTAACAAATACTGAACTTCTGTGTAGACAGATATGCTGTTTATCACTGTGCTTCAAGACATCTCGTTGTGCTTCAGACCTTGATTCTGATTTGACAAGGGAGAAAGTATACTTACATCCTTTGTTCTGATTGGCCAAAATGTTTGGGAAGGATTTGAAAATATTCCTTTGAAAGAAACAGTGCTGTTGACTATTTGGCAACAAATACATGAATTTTGTTGTGTTTTTAGCCTTTGAAGGGTTTATACTAATGATGTCATTAAGAACATCTGTATTTCTTAGACCTTCCATTGTTTTGAAGCTTCCCAGTGTTCAGGAATAACTCCTACAGATCAGCTTGGCCTGTTACTGGTCATACAAGGAAGCCCTATTCTGACTGTATATATTTCACATAGTATTTATGAATGGGCATATTTTAGTGAAAAAGGTGTTTGTGAATTGAAGTTGTTAATGAACATTTGTAAAATAAAGAATATGTGGACATAGTTGAAACTGGTTTGTTTTTCATGGAAATTTCATGAAGTTTCATTGGACAATGATCCTTGATGATCCAGATTGTTGTGAGAGTTTATTGAAAGAAACAGCACTGAAACCACTGGAACACTCACAACGGGAATTAAAGGGGACATAACTCCTGCACCACGAATTGTTCTCTTGCCCCCTTTGACAAGTGTGAAACCCATGATTGTGTTTGGGAATTCTGGCTGGACCTGGTTATTGTCTTGTGTATTTCACCAAAGTCCTCCTGCATTAACCTTACCTATTCTGATATACCTAATACTGTTCAAGGTGGCATGTAAATATATCAATTGGATGGTCTAAGTTGAGCTTCAAAATGATCGAAGTGCAGAAATGTGAATACTTGAGCTGGTATGTGTGTTGAGCAGTCAACCTTGGTTTATATTTGGTCAGCCCGACTGAATACAACCGTCAGTGTATAGTGTTGGCAATAGTGTGGCCTTATCGTCTGCAAGGGACTCACACTATGAAGCAACAATCTGAAAGATCTGTTCTCCCGCGTGGGAGCTCATCTGATAGTGAACTACCTGAAGGAAATTGATCTGTATCATAAATTGTAACTGTGTAATGTCACTAACAAACTGCCTGCCTCAAATTTAGGGGGCAGTGGGGTAGCTTAGTGGTTATACTTGATTGGATCGTATCTCACGAAAACAGTGACATTGTCAATGATGTGATGGTACGTGATTGTCAGATGTCTGATCACTTCTTGGTTCACGTCCAGTTAAAACTTTCTAAACCAGGAAATGTCATCAAAACAATAACTTGTCGAAATTATAAACGAATCAATAAGGACCTGTTCAGGGCCGATCTTGCCAAGTCAAGCCTGGTGTGTGAACCCCCAGACGACATTGAGGCTCTAGCAGATCTCTATCAGGATACGCTCTCTGCAATCCTAGACAAGCACGCTCCTGCTGTTAGCAAGACTGTTGTTGTGCGGTCAAATTCTCCCTGGTATGATGATGAAGTCCATTGGGCGAAAATTCAGAAACGTAAATCTGAAAGACTTTGGCGTAAGACACGACTAGAAGTTCATCGTCAGATGTATTGTCAAGCGAGGAATAGCATGATTAAACACATAGCCCATGCTAAGAAGAACTATTGTCTGTCCACTATCGAGGAGATTAAAAATAATCCTAGGAAAATGCATAAATTTATAAATGGCCTTCTTGGGAAAAAGCATGATCCAATCCTACCCTCAACTCCACCTTTTGATGAACTTCCTGACTCCTTTAATGACTTTTTTTCGAGCCAAGATTGACAAAATTCATTCAACACTGAAAGGTACTAGGCTCCAGTTTGATACTCCTACTGATACACAGTTTTCTGGTATACCACTATTGGAGTTTCATCCATTTTCTGAAAACGACATCAAGAAGATCATTTCTGGATCCAAGCCGACCACTTGTCACTTGGACCCGATTCCCACATCGCTGGTAAAAGAATTCCTGGATTTGCTGCTCCCAGTTATCACAAAGATGGTGAACAGTAGTTTGATAAGTGGTGTCTTCCCAGATTCTTTCAAACATGCCACTGTCATCCCCCCTGTTAAAGAAGGATAACCTAGATCCAAACTTGCTTAAAAACTTTCGACCAGTCTCTAACCTGAAGTTTATATCAAAGATACTTGAGAGAGCAGTCAATATTCGACTCAGGGATCATTTCTCTGCCTTTTCACTTTTGGATAAATTCCAGTCCGCTTACAGATCAAATCATAGCACCGAGTCAGCCCTCCTCAGAGTCTCCAACGACTTACTTACAGCTGTTGATGAAGGCAAACTAGCTACTCTTATCTTGCTTGACCTCTCTGCTGCCTTCGATACAATCGACCACCAACTCCTTCTGGAAAGACTCAAGGGCCAATTTGGAATCCATGGGGTACCCCTCATCTGGTTACAATCTTATCTCGAAAGCAGAAGTCAGACTGTCCTGTTAGACAATATCAAATCACAAACCTCCTTGGTCCACTGTGGTGTACCCCAGGGATCGGTACTCGGTCCGCTTCTTTTCATAGCATACACGACCGATGTTGCAGACGTAATTGACAAACATGGCATTTCCCATCATTCGTTTGCAGATGACACTCAACTTCAGAAAAACTCAACTCCCAAGGACTTTCACACTGGTCTTCATAAAATAACAGACTGTACTAAAGATGTTAAGTCATGGATGACAAACAACTTGCTAAAGTTAAATGATGACAAAACTGAGGTGATGGTTATTGGATCCAGGCAAATGCAAAACAAATTACCACCAAAACTGTTCTGGTAGCAGATGCAGAGATACAAGCTGTCGACTCTGTTAAAGACCTTGGAGTTACACTTGACTCACACCTGGCGATGGACACTCATGTAAATCAACTCTGCAGAATATGCTTCTTTCATCTACGAGCCATTGGCAGAATACGCCATCTCATCAGTCGTGATGCAGCACACGGTCTGGTCCAGGGACTTGTTATATCAAGAATTGATTACTGCAATAGCCTCCTTTTGGTATTTCTCAGAAGCTGCTATCAAAATTGCAAAATGTCCAAAATACAGCCTCCCGAATCATAAGCAGAACTTCAAAGCGCTCACACATAACACCTGTCATGAAAACCTCCACTGGCTGCCTGTTAAATCAAGAATTGACTTTAAAATATTGTGTTTTGTCTACAAATGCCTCAATGGCATAGGCCCAGAATACCTGAAGGAACTCCTTACCCCGTACACTCCAGAAAGACAGCTCCGTTCTCAGAATCTGAACCTACTCTCTGTGCCTCGGTTCAAACTGCAAACTTTTGGAAGGAAATCCTTTGTCTGCTCTGCCCCTCTACTCTGGAACTCTCTCCCTATCACCATTAAATCAGCAGTTGACTTTATTCCTTCAAACGACTTCTCAAGACTCATCTGTTTTCACTGCATTATGACTAGCAACTAGTCCCTTATTGTATATATGTATTATTATCCACTCACTTTGTTAGCGCTTTGAGCATGGGCCTTGTGCATGGAAAAGGCGCATTATAAGTTCACATTTATTATTATTATTATTATAACAGACTTGTTCTCGTCACTATATGGCTGGAATAATGCCGACGTAAAGCCCAACTCAACTCAACTCAACCAATCATGGTTTTGTGAATCTCACACTTTTCATGTTCTGTATCTGACAACAGCGTTGGGCAGCTAAACATGGTCACTTGAAATATCATCACTGAGAGACATAGATGTCCATAGTACTCCCGTCAGGAGTAAGTAGTTAGAAATAACTTCCATTTTCAGTATACAGCAGGGAGTTTTCATTGGTTTAAGACTAATTTAAAAAAAAAAAAATTCCACCTAATTCAATTTTGAACTGATTCCTCCGATGGGTACAATGTGTGAAGCCCATTCCTGGTGTCCCCCGCCGTAATATTGCTAAAAGTGGCACAAAAATAAACTCACTCACTCAATGTTGAACATCATTATTTTGACTTGTTTATTTAGTAATGAAAAACAGCCTCATGCATTGTTATATGACCTTGTTTAAGTGAATATCACTCTCAAAATCTGATTTTACAAACCTTTGGTGCTTTGTCTTTCCAAAATGCGTTTCAATTCCGAACTCTAACACGCATTCTTGAATCATTCCTACTCTAACATCTTTTAAGTCGGGGGTGGTGGGGTATTCTAGTGGTTAAAGCGTTGGCTCGTCACGCCGAAGACCCGGGTTCGAATTCCCACATGTACATTGTGTGAAGCCCATTTCTGGTGTCCCCCGCCGTGATGTTGCTGGAATATTGCTAAAAGCGGCGTAAAACCAAACTCACTCACTCACACTCTTTTAAGTCGGGGGTGGTGGTTAGCCTAGTGGTGAAAGCGTTTGCTGTGTTCGATTCCCCACATGGTTACAATGTGTGAAGCCCTGGTGTTTCGTTATTTCGTTGACATAAACTCTGTCGCTAATTAAGCACCTCATTATGAACTACTTAAGAGAAATTGGTCTGTATCTTAAATTGTACGTATGTATGACAAATTGCTTGGTTTTAAATTTGGTATTATGACGTTTTGCAATTATTACTAATACTGTAATGAAGAAATATGTATTTGAAGAAACTCCTATAAACTTTGTAATTAAAATGGACTCTTGTATATGTGCATACTTGGGTCTCGTCCCAATATTGCTGAAGTGGGGATGATGCGCCTTAAAATTTAATTCACTCACTCACTGATTAAGCACCACCAGATTCAAAATCCAGTTCCGAAACATAATGACAAACCCAGTGCTGAATGCCTTTCACCGTTTGGCAGGGCGGTGGGTGAAGTCTAATGTTTAAAGCATTTGCTCGTCAAGTCGAAGAACTGATTCAATTCTCCACAGGGTTCAATGTGTGGAGCCAACTTCTCGTGTCCCCCCGTCGTAATATTGCTGGAATATTGCTTAAAAAACGGCGTAAAACTATACTCAGTCCTTCATCAGGTGTAATATGATGAAGTAATGTATACTCCGAAACGTTGTGGCCCTCGTAAATAAGTTAACATCCATAAAAACTCTCTCTTCCTTATGTGTATCACTTCTAAATGGACCGCCTCCGTGGTGTAGTGGTTAGAGCGTCCGCCCGACCGCGTCATACCAAAAGACGTTAAAATATGGTACTTGTTGGTCCCTGCCTGGCGCTCGGCATTAATGGGTACAACAAGGACTGGTCGGCTCGGAGTCAGTATAATCAGAGACCATATATCGGTATATGGTCTCTGGTATAATGTGTCTGAGTGGGGTATTCATGCTTCACTGCGGCATGGTATCTCAGTGGGCTAGCACTATAAAACCAGCTTAAGTCTGGGCTAGTACAAGCAGCCGCACATGCACACGCATGCACGCCGTCATATGAGCGAAATATTCTCAAGCACGACGTAAAACCCAATTTCACCTCCACTCACTCACTCACTCACTGCAGCATAGAACAATTAATAATGTCTCTTCCTGTGACCAATATTGCTTTATTCCAATTGTATGTAAAGGACATCTGATGAAGAAAGAGTTTCAGCTGAGAAAATATTTCTTTATGTTGGTAAAACACTCCTTGATCAAAGAAAACGGAATGGCAAGGTGGAATCGTCTCGCACACGACAGGTTTGTGTTGTTGAAATGAGACTGAAATGTGATCAGTACAAGTGCGGCTGTGATGAGAGTACAGCAGTTGTCTCCCTTCTTTAAACTTTTGGCCAACAGGGATAGTAATCGAACTGTAAAGAAAACCACAAACATTTGATTATCAAGCTAGAATGACTGCAGGTGATAATTGATCATTGCAATGAAACAGTGGACAGGTGTCAGTAATATAAACTACCATAGAATCAACCGCCTCCGTGGTGTAGTGGTTAGAGCGTCCGCCCGGAGAGCGGAAGGTCGCGGGTTCGATCACCGACCGCGTCATACCAAAAGACGTTAAAAATATGGTACTTGTTGGTCCCTGCCTGGCACTCGGCATTAATGGGTACAACAAGGACTGGTCGGCTCGGAGTCAGTATAATGTGTCTGAGTGGGGTATTCATGCTTCACTGCAGCATGGTATCTCAGTGGGCTTGCACTATAAACCCAGCTTAAATCTGGGCTAGAACAAGCAGCCGCACATACACATACACACGCATGCACGTCGTCATATGAGCGAAATATTCTCAAGCACGACGATAAACCCATCTCACCATAGAATCATTCCTGATTACCACATGTGTTTTGTCTCTATCATATAGAATCAGCGTGTGTTTTTGTTTTGTCTGTAAATAATCGAGTCTGGACCAGAGTCCAGGGATCGACAACGTGAGCATATTCACATACAATGTCCAAACATTCCAATGATCATGATGACATTTTGCTAATTTTTTGGCAAGTTGTTTGTTGTTTACCGCCGCACTCAGCAATATTCCAGCTATAGGACGGCGGGCTGTAAATAATTGAATTTAGACCAAACAACTCAGTGATTGAAATCATGAGCACCGGTCCACGAAATTGGGATACGATGACATGAGTCAGAGTACCTGACCACCAGATATCATGGGACCCTCTATTATCGCGGTAGTTAATGTTGTCGCCATCGGGATTATGAACGGCTCATAGGCGCCCGACTCTGATATATTTATAAGCATGACCTATATATAGGTCTTATATATATAGGTCATGCTTATAAATATATCAGAGTCGGGCGCCTATGGAACGGCTACTGACTTTTAGCATTTTATATATATTTTCAGTTGACTGATGTTTAATCTTCATTTCTGTCACAAATAATGTGACACATGGTCGCAACTCGTTTAATACTAATGCGGCAATTCCTATTGTCTCGTTTGATCCGGAAATTGAATCAACTCTCTTTTATCGCGGTATTGCTATTTTCTTACTATGGTACGCGGTACAAGCAGATGACATTGTGAAACGTTTACTAAGACAAGTAACGAATCTAAATAGTTTGATCATTAAAAAATATTTAGGAATTTCATTCAGTAATATCATCATGTTTTTAACCCAAACATCTGAAACTTCTATTTATTTCGATAAAAGGTAACAATAACGTTACAATATATTGTTTTTCCGCCTTAAAACGTACCATACAAGCTGCTGCCGTGTGCAGAGTGAAGTTTCATAATACGTCACTTCCTGTTATATTTTTAGCACGGAAAATATGCAAATGACCTTATAGTTGTAGGATTATTCTTGACGAAGTAAGTTTTGATTCATGCTAGATGTAATGGCAGTAGGGGTCATACTAGTTTCAAAATGTTCTAGAACTTACTGAAAAGATGAATGCTTTAATATTTCTACAATTAGACATGACATTCCAATGAAATAAATGACTTTTTCAAGAACGAAACGTCATTTGCATATGTAAACAGCCGATGCGGCGCGAGGTGTTTCTGCTTTCCCGATGTTTTCACGTGCCGCGATAATAGAGATCCCGTGATAATAGAGAGTCCCTCTACCGTCAGTCGCCTCTTACGACAAACATGTGTTGCTGAAAACCAAATCTAACCCGGATCTTAACGTTTTGTTTGTTGGTTAACACGGCACTCAGCAATATTCCAGCTATATGGCGGCGATCTGTAAATAATCGAGTCTGGACCAGACAATCCAGGGATCAACAGCATGAGCATTGATCAATGCAATTTGGATACGATGACATGTGTCAACCAAGTCAGCGAGCCTGACCACCCGATCCCGTTAGTCGCTTCTTACGACGGGTCGAATGAGTTTGACATTCAGGATAATAGATGACGACAAAGATTCCGAGGAACGTACCCAGTCCATGACACCGACGAAGCCGTTGTGTTGCCCGGCACACGAACCAAGACGCAAAGCACTCTTGCTCTTCACGAGGTCACCTACAATGTGAAGATAAAACTAAATAATAAATTCAAAAGAGAGTTTTAAGTCCGAAATCGCAACTGTTCAAGTGATCGAGTATGGTTTTACGCCGATTTTAGGAATAATCCATCAATATCATGGCGGGGGGACACCAGAAATGGACGTCACACAATGCACCCATGTGGAGAATCGAACCGGGTCATCGGCGTGATCAGCGAACACTATTCTACCCCATTGCGTGTGTGTGTGTGAGTTGGGTTTTACGCCGCTTTTAGCAATATTCCAGCAATATAACGGCGGGGGACACCAGAAATGGGCGTCACACATTGTACCCATGTGGGGAATCGAACCCGGGCCTTCGGCGTGACGAGCAAACGCTTTAACCACTAGGCTACCCCACCACCCCTACCCCATTGCACGCAGCTAGTATATGATGCTATAACGCCAATATTGTAGACTAATCCCATTATATAATATAGGGTGATAGTAGTTTGATTAAATAAATGGGCTTCATAATACCCTTTGGGGGAATCGAACCCGGGTGTTTGGCGTGACGAGCGAACGTTTTAACCACTTGGCTACCCCACCGCCCATTTTATCATGTGTTTTGATTAGGTTTCAGACGTTGGGGCGTGTTTTGATCATGATTAGATCACAAAGATGATTAGATAACAAGTAATAATCTCTCACAGCATTATGTTCACGTTCCCGTCACTTGATATACAGTGGAACACCGCTGTGTCGAACACTAGCGACTTGGCAAAGTTATCCGAGTTTGAGAAAACCAACAAAGTGATTTTCCGAAAACCAAATTTACCGATCAGTCTGTTACTGTTGATGGTGCGACCGCCAAACTCGTAGTCTATCCGGACGCTGAGCGCGTCCATTGCCTTCAAGACGACCAGAGTGTTGAACTCCCCCCGACTGTGAACATCAACAACAATGACAATCATGGTAACAATAACTGATGACTAATGGAGCCAGTGAGTGAGTGAGTTTAATTTTACGCCGCACTCAGCAATATTCCTTCTAGATGGCGGCGGTCTGTAAATATTTGTGTCTGGCCCAGATGATCAATCCAGTGATCAACATCATTAGCTACGCAAATGGGATACGGTGACATGTCAACCACCATTCTCTTCCCACAGAGGTTACTTGTCATATCTTCCTACGAACCTCTGTTCTAATACGGCCCTTTCATGGTGCGAGTGTTCAGAATTCGTGATTGGTTGCAGTCAGATTTAGTTGTGCAATCAGCGACGTTGTTTCAAAAGTGATCATTCGCAAGGACTCGGTAATGTCCGTATGCTTCGGAAAATCTGGAACCCTGCGCGATACGCAAACGTTACTTCTAGACAGAACTCAGTCATGTAATGGCGGATCAATGGTGTCACCATCGCCCTCGTTGACAACTGACAAGCTTGCCACTAATGTCTTGTGTGTCACATGAACACAAGTCCCCGGCAGAAAAGAGGGATATTTGAGGCCCCATTTTTACTTGCATCGATATAACACGTGTTCTGATTGGATAGAAAGAAGGCAGGTAATTCGTGTTGCGATTTTTTGCCGCTAGGGGATTTTACGAGAACCGGGAAATATGGCCGTATTAGAACAGAGGTTCGTAGGAAGATATGACTAGTAATCTCTGTGGGAAGAGAATGGTAAACCACGTCAGCGAACCGAACAACCCGACCCCGTTAGTCGCCTCTTACAACGAGCATGGGTTACTGAAGATCAATTCTAACCCGAATCTTCATGGGTACTGGTTAAGTCTACAACCTCTATGCATGTCGTATGAGGCGACTAACGGGGTCGGGTGGTCAGGCTCGCTGACTTGGTTGACACGGTACCGTTGACACATCGTACCCCAGCTGTGTAGCTCATGGTATTGATCACTGAATTGTTTGATCCAGAGTCGATTGTTTACAGACCGCCGTCATTTAACTGGAATGCTGAATGCGGCGTTAAACAAACAAACAAACAAGATGTCTTACCTTGAACGGCACGGAGACCTCCACACCTTGTGACATATTGTAAGTTCTCACGCGAACTCTCACGAGATCTTTCCTGCCATGATTCCGTTGTGTCTTGTCTAACAAGATCAGGAGAGAGGGTTGTCCAGGAGGGTCTTTGGCATCACAGTTGGTGAGCAGAACCTGAACATATGAACACAGGACCTACAGTGCTCGCCACTTGAAACAGAATCACACAATGTCGCATGACAGTGGGGTAGCCTAGTGTCTAGTGACCTTTACACCTCGACTCAGACTTGCAAAGGTTCCTGTCGCTACCCCGACTCGAACTGCAAACGCTTTATTACGAGTCCAACGCTCTAACCATCACACTGGCGAGCCGGCTGATACTTTAATGCTCAGAGGTCTAGGCTGACGGCACATCGAAGGATGCCTCTCGATAGACCATCGCCGTTTTTAAGGGGGCTGGGGAACTTATTTAATAAAAATAAGCCTTTAAGCCGCATCTGATGCAAAAAACCCACTCTATTACTACTACTAATGCCCAGCCATTCATCAGCACAGCACAAAAGTCAATGTAGACGTACGTAAACTAGATGTTCTCACAGATGCATTTGGGATAACCAAGTGGTACAGTCAGAACGAACGCCCCTGTGGTTATATTGGGGCGCGGACTGACTGCACCAGTCATAATAACTGACAGAATAACTGTAATGTTATGTTGAAAATCGGATGACTCATAACTATTTCGGCGGTATAAATTAAAGTGTGAAATACCGAAACTTATAATAATGATAATTAATTAGTGAATTTATAAAGCGCTAAAATACTCCAGGCACTAAGTGTCTGCTCTAAGCGCTATGGTGAGTATATACACAGTATTTAAAACGAGTAGGAACACAGAAATCTAGCAGTGATAGTGTTTTCGGAAAAGGAATGTGTTTAAATGAGATCTGAAGTTGTCTAGGGTTGGTGACAGTCTGATATCATGGGGAAGAGAGTTCCAGAGCGAAGGAGCATCATAGCTGAATGAGCCCTAGCCAAATGACTTCAGATGGCGTCTTGGTGTCTCCAGACTGACTGACTGAGTTTGGTTTTACGCCGCTTTAAGCAAAATTCCAGCAACATCACGGCGGGGACACCAGAAATGGGCTTCACACATTGTACCCATGTGGGGATTCGAACCCGGGTCTTCGGCGTGACGAGCCAACGCTTTTACCACTAGGCTACCCCACCGCCCCGTCTCCAGAAGATAAGGATTTGGTGATCTTTATGTTCTCACACGGTTGAGTTTGGAGAGTATGTCACCTAAGTAACTTGGCGCAGTTGTGTGAAAGCACCAATTCTACTCTTGCTCGTACTATAGACAGGTGTGATGTGAGAGCGCTTCTTTGTTCTGCTGATGATCCTTGCACCAGTGTTCTGCACCTTCTGGAGCTTTGTGAAACGTCTCTCTGGCAATCGGTAATACAGACGGTTGAAATACTCTAATCGTGATTGGACTAAAGAGCGTAAATGGACACACGTGGCTTCCCTGGATAGCATTTGTCGAATGTGACCAATGTTTCGAAGATGGTGATAGCAGCTTCTGCAAGTGTTGGTAACTTATGATGGTTTTTAACCCTTTCCCAGGTGTATACTCTGATATTTTAGGAGCAGGAAGTTGCTGATCTTACCTGTTTCTTTGCCTTAGATGTAGGGTCGTCCTTAAATCTCATCTGAACCTGAAGATTTGGGTCAAAGGGCCGGTCTTCAAACGTCCAGAAGATGGCGGAGGAGCTGGGGGTGAAGTGAGCAAATCCCTCGTACAGATCCAGGGTTTCGCCACCGCCAATATTGTAACGTATCACCTTGTTCTTCATTATCTTCGAGTTAAAATCCATTGCAAATCGAGGTCTGCACCCTAGGGGTTATATTTGCATGTTAGTGCAGGTTCGTTTTGGTTTTGAGCTTGTGTTAATTTTGGGATAATTCTGGTATTATATTAGATTACATTGAAAAATGTTCCGTTATATTTCTATATTTCTGGATTATATATTATTACCAGAATCGGATAAGTATGTTCAAAAAGGCACACCATAAAGCTGACTGGTAGAAATCATTATCAACAATGACAGCTATATGCCTGCGGTCTGTAAATAATCGGGTCTGGACCCAATCCCGTTAGTCGCCTCTCACGATAAGCATGGGTTACTGAAGATCAAGTCTAACCCGGATCTTCACGGATTATTAACAATGACACAAATTAGAACCGAGGAGATAAGTGAAGATAGGGTTCTATTTGTTCTTCAGCAACCCATGTTTGGCAACTACGGGATCTGGTGCTGGGACTCGCTGACTTGACTGAAGAAGCATGCCATCGTAACATATTTACGAAGAAAGATGCTCAGAAAATCTATCACTGGATTGTCTGGTCCTCACTGGATTATTTACAGACCGACTTCATATAGCTGGAATATTGCTGACTGCGGCGTTAAACAGCAAACATAAAAAACGACATGAAGATAATGTGAAATATTTGTAATAAATTACTTCGTAAACATTATAAATAAACTAAAAGCAACACACAGACAAGAATATATGTGTACGTTAATATCATCAGTACACTTTACTTACACTTAAATGTGTTTTCTCCGTGCACACACGTGCATGTCTTGACGTTGAACACAGTCCCGTTAGCACATGGCATGATCTTGCCGGAGTAGGTGTCAAGGTAGACGGTGTTGTTGCCGGGCACTTCCGCGAAGTAACAGGTTCCTTGAAAAAATAACAAGAAGCCGTGGATCTGGGGTGCCATTGTTCCTGACTGAAAATACACACTACACACCGCGGTCAATATAACACCATGTGTTTGCTGATGAGCGAATCCGAGATATGTGTACACTTATATAATGTTTGTACTTTGTGTTACAATAACACGTGTACATCTATATATCTTCTGTACCTGTATTGTTAACATCACAGTATCAGTGAGTGAGTGAGTTTAGTTTTAAGCCACACACAGCAATATTCCAGCTATATGGCAGCGGTCTGTAAATAATCGAGCCACACTCAGCAATATTCCAGCTATATGGCGGCGGTCTGTAAATAATCGAGTCTGGACCAGACAATCCAGTGATCAACAACATGAGCATCGATGTGTCAACCAAGTCAGTGAGCCTGACCACCCGATCCCGTTAGTCGCCTTTTACGACAAGCATGGGTTGCTGAAGATCAATTCTAACCCGGTGTGAGTTATTATTGTGAGTGAGTGAGTTTTATTTAGTTTTACGCCACTTTTAGCAATATTCCAGCAATATCACGGCGGGGGACACCAGAAACGGGCTTCACACAATGTACCCATGTGGGGAATCAAACCCGGGTCTTCGGCGTGACGAGCGAACACTTTAAACACAAGACTACCCCTACCCCTTACTATTATCGAGCATCCTTACAAGGATCTGTATAAATAGTCTGTACGTAGGTGATGGCCCTTTCATTAACACATATACGGTAGTATGCGATCTGTATTTATACTGATGACACTTACATTAACATATGTACGGTAGTATGTGATCTGTATTTATACTGATGACCCTTACATTAACATATGTACGGTAGTATGTGATCTGTATTATACTGATGACCCTTACATTAACACATGTACGGTAGTATGCGATCTGTATTATACTGATGACCCTTACATTAACATATGTACGGTAGTATGCGATCTGTATTATACTGATGACCCTTACATTAACATATGTACGGTAGTATGTGATCTGTATTATACTGATGACCCTTACATTAACATATGTACGGTAGTTACAGTGGTTAAAGAGTCACGCCGAAGACCCGGGTTCGATTCCCCACATGGGTACAATGTGTGAAGCCCATTTCTGGTGTTCTCGGACGTGATATTGCTGAAATATTGCTAAAAACGGCACAAAACTGAACTCACTCACTCACATATACCCTGGTATTTGCACAGTCATATCTGTCCTGTTCGGATTGTGTCACCTGTCACTCACTATCACGTTATAAATAACCTAGTGGGGGCTTATTTAAGTCACATCATTCATCATATATACATGCTCATTCATTATCTGAAATAATCAGTAGACGCCGACTTCACACATGTCACTGACACGCTCTCTGTATTTTTGTGATGCAGCTTAAAATAATATGAATAAAAAGTTTGTCATGGATTTGTCGTGGATTGATGGTTTGAAGTATAATGAGATTTGTTTCATGGTTGCCTTGACAACTGTATGAGTGATACATCTTCTCGGGGGATTATTAATCAGACACGTGTACCCTGAGTGGCATCAACATCACGATGTTCCTTCCCGATTTGGCGTTCTGAGTTACATGAAAATGCATTTGATGTGGAAACATGCCATCTTATTGAAAAGAAACTGATCGATCGGTGAAGTTTCAACTCTAGGGAGCTAGTGATGACCCTTTTGCAATACTCTAGCAATATCCACGTCAGGGGACATCGGAAAGGGGCTTTAAAGACGGTACCCAACTTTGTGGCGAGCGAACGCTTTAGCCACTCGGCTACTTCGCGATCCCTTGTAGAGTAAGTGCTCATTGTGTACCAATGTCTCTGAGTGATATGTGAAAGCATAAGGTGAGGTGAGGTGAGGTGAGGTGAGGTGAGAACGCAGCCTAACATAGCGGAAAGTTCGGTGGTTCGACCTTATCATTACAATGCGGGGCGGTGGGGTAGTCTAGTGGTTAAAGCGTTCACTCTACACGCCGAAGACCCGGGTTCGATTGCCCACAGTTCTCTATCAATGGTCATTTAATAAACGTTCAGGACAAAAGCCCGCCCCCCCTCCCGGATCCGCCTATGGATGGTTTGGAGGTGCACATATGTTCGGAAAAGTGGGACGGGAGGTGCACATGAAATACAAACGTGCTATCAAATGACACAGTCCGTGTTTGTTAGCCAAGGCCCATCTCCCGAGGCAGAAGTTAATTAGCTATAAACGTACAGTACCACTCTTGCTGAAATGGGTTATAGTTTCGTGCCGCGATCGTAGAGTTCTGTTCAAAATCGGGATCGTAGCTTGCGAAATGGCTTGGGTTTATTGTTTGTTTTGAAAACGTGTTACCAAAACAATTACTTATGTTTTTTATTCATCCACATTGCTATGTGTCAGTGGCCCTTTGTGTGACAATGTAGCAGTTGTCTTATATTAGTTTTGTTGAGAGTTGTGCTGACTAGTTTTTGAATGGAAGCATAGACTTGTCAGCAAGCTTCTACAGCAATAAGCCAGTGGATTCCAACACTACAGTCCGTTTGAGTCAGAAACGGACCGATGAATTGCAAATTTTATCATTGTACAAAATTGCCACATAAATATGAATAGTACACATGTTTATCATTTACTAATACCCAACAGCTTTCTTATATTTGAAAATTTTCCGGACTCCACCAAAAAAGTTCTTTAAGAAACTATCATTAAAATTTTGACACAGTTCACTATTTGTTACGAGGGAGGAGTGCAGAGAAATTTATTTATTTATTTATTTATATTTATGTGGCAATTTTGTACAATGATTAAATTTGCAATTCATCGGTCCGTTTCTGACTCGAACGGACTGTAAATCCAAAGACCTTTTCAAGTCTCTCCTTAAACCCCCCCCTTCCGGTCACCATTCCACTAGACATTCAGGATTGTGTGTGTATATGAGTATATGTGCATGGATTTGGTTTTCAGTTTGTCATAGCGCCATTGAGTCGATGGATACTAGGCGCTTTATAAATCAATTATTATTATTATTATGTTTTACAGATTAAATTAGTATACAGCAGTGAGGGTTCGAGTGATCCTGGCACAGTCAGGCTGGTAAGGCTCATCATCAGCTCAGGGTCCTTGCCCCCTCTACACGCAGCCCAGACAGCGAATGGGACTTCTCCCAGGAAACGCTGCCTAGTCGAACCAACCTAGAAATTTCCTGAGAATATTCCCCAACACTGCAGTCTTCTGCATTACCCAGAGTGTGAGAAAGGCTGTGCCCCCGGTGGAGAAAATTATTATCATTATCATTATTACAGCATTTTGCAGAAAGTTCGAGAATATAAACTCACATTAGATGTCATTTTTATGTCAAGACCAGCAGGTTCGTGGATATCACCATTCACCCTAGATTCCCAGCCAAGGCTTATTTTGGAAGCTTGACCACTATTGCAGCTGTGTGAATATTACTGTCACTGTATTGTTATTATCAGTGTTTGTATAGTGAGTGAGTGAGTTAAGTTTCACGGGTCAGTGTTTGTATAGAAGATCGTCATTGTATTTGTACTACCATTGAATTTGTAAGTGAGTTTAGTTTTACGCCGTACTCCGCAATATTCCAGCTGTATGGCGGCGGTCTGTAAACATCGAGTCTGGACCAGACAAGACAGTGATCAACAGCATGAGCATTGATCTACGCGACTGGGATACGATGCCATGTGTCAACCAAGCCAGCGAGCCTGACCACCCGATCCTGTTAGTCGCCTCTTACGACAAGCATGGATTACTGAAGACCAATTCTAATGGGTCTTCGCGGGTCATCACAGTATCTGTATTGCCACTCTGTTTTATACTGTCATTGATATCCTTTGCAGTAATTTGTATTTATTTATGAACTTTGTTTAGACTAATAAATTTATAATTTAATTGTTAATTGTATGGATTTACTCTGTTCTGTTTATGTCTTTTATCAAATGTTTCTACGTAAATATTTCTCGGTTAGCTTGATGTATTTGTAAGTCGACACGTAGCAACATAAATATCAGATGAGCGGGTGAATCACTCCCCATTGCACATTTACCTGTCTGTTGTCAACTGTCCACCTTCGTTGTTGGCTAACTACATATGAAAGAATATCTCACGGTGTTCCTTTGTGTTCTAGGCTGGGTGTTCTTGTGTGTTCTAGGTGTTACAGGCTGTACCTGGATGGTGTTCCACTCACCTTGTGCTGAGGTCAAAGAAAAGGTCACAGCGAAGGCCATGCATGCCAAACATCCTCTCCATATTGATTTCTCCATCCTGGAAGAGATACGGACACACATTTATCTACCGTAGCCTGTCAAATATATTTTTTTCTTCATTTCAGGCCACATCATAAGTGAGATATGTTTTGGCTTATTACTTCGATCACGTTTTGATTTTTTAAATTCTGTCATTATCAAATGTAAAAAGATAAATCCATATTTGAACAACAACAATCCATATTTCATATTAACAACTATACCTCCGAATTTTCTCCGTAAAGAGATTAGAAATACAAAAACATTCAAAAAATGAAATATAAATAAAATGGTGGTTATGATATTTTTAAAAACTAAAACAATTAAAAGTTTCAAATATACACATACAGTGCTGCCTGCCTCAGTGGAGTCGTACTGTATTAACCCCAAAACACAAAACGTAAACATCCAAGAACTACAAAACATATAAATAGTATCATGTAAGGTCCCCAAAATTATAAATAACTACAAAACAATCCAAAACAAAACAAAAACACCACAAAAAACCCCGAATAATTAAAAAACAAACTCATCCGACGTATGCCAGGATGGTATGTCAGTAAGCACATTTCAACAAACACATACAAAATTTAGTTACACAAACCTTTCCGTATTTGAACATTCATTCAATTCATTCTTTACACATAAAAAACCACTCACTAACGTCATGTACAAAATGATATTAAACTCTACCAACAGCAAGAAAATGATCTAAACTAATCAGCATATCAAACATACAGAACATAATGTAGATTTGACAACCGTCGCTGACTAAACGCTGCCTTGTCTGTCAACCCCTTCAGCGATGACAAGACACGATCGGGGTCCCTGTACCTGCCCTATATGATTCATAGGTCTACCTGTCATCGTGAACACTCGGTGTCAGAGTTGTAGCTGAGGACATTAAACTCATGATTGATTGGTAATCTTATGTCACATCCTGTCACAGGAATTTAGCCTATAATGCCTCCACAACAGACAATTAATGATAAATGATATGTATTCAAGTATTGTTTTTATGTTCGTTGAAATAAGAGCGATTTAGTTGCTAAAATATGTGAAAAAAAGTTTCCATCAATTTCAATATATTTTGACACGTGGTATTTCGGAAATCACGATAATTTTTTTAAGGATTGATTAATATTATTTAAAGATAATTTGTCTTGAAAAGGACAAAAATCTTGGATCTTTGACACGTTTATTTAAGATTAAACCAAGCCGTCGCACATTTTCGTATTAATTAAAGATAAAGATTTAATTTGTGAATATTTGGCCATATCAATCAACTATACTTTTAGTTTTGTGGATAGGCCAAGGTGGGCTTTTATGTCTTTGTTTATCTGATAATACATTCATCATATTGATTTATGTCAATGAACTTTGTCTTTACCGGTTGATCGGGTGCAGTCTTTGGTTATAAAGGTCTCAAGAGTACCGTGAACTACGTTTTTAACGAACTGACTGATATAACGAACTGACTGATATAACGAACCGTTTTCCCCTGCTACTTGCAGTATATGTAAGTCGAAATACGTACAGCTAACTGCGGCTATGAGGAACTAACATAGTGGTTCCTTTGAGATCGTTCCAACAATTATAGTTTACCCTTTTGCGAACACTTTGTATCATCACCATTTCATATGATTCATAAACATACTAGATATAGTCGGAATCGTACAATCGACTTTGCTTTTAGCGAAGTGTTTTTGATCATGAGGAAAGAGATTAGTCGCTTAGATTTACTTATGAAATAATGAACGTGTTTTCTAATTATGTATGGTTATGTTTATTAGATATTTCAAATAAGGATTTTAGCTTTCAATTTCAGTCTTTATCCTTAAATGTATATCGAAATAGTGATGTATTTGATATAGGTATAAGAGTTTTGATCCTATTCTTTTGATCCTACGTTTACACTGTTTCAGACTTCAGTCATGTAGCAATATTCCAGCAATATCACGCGCGGGGACACCAGGAATGAGCTTCACTCATGTTCCCATGTGTGGAACAGAACACGGGTCTTCGGTGTGACGAGCCAACACTTTAACCACAAGGCTACTCTACCGCCCCTCTTCAGCCTTGTAACGTTTTGATGACGTTTTTCAGCTCACGTCCAATTTTCAAATCTATCTTGCGTCGCCCAGATTTCTCACTAAGCTAACCTACTTTACAGGAAAACAAAATTTTGACGGAAAAAACTTCTCCCTGATCTATCAAGGTTTCACCATCAAAGGCCTGGCGAAGGCATTCAAGGGCAAGAAAATGCATAGCAGACATTATAGAAACTGGCTCGTCAACATCATGGGCGATACGACGACGTTACATTTTATGGGATTTTCACGTCTCCTTAGTAACGCACGTTTACCTTTTTACTTAAATGTGTGTGAGTGGCGGGTGTGTCCGAGAGCAGGATGTGCTTAGTTTTTCACATAAGCCTCGTGACTAACTTGTCATTTGTTTTCGCCCAAAATATCTGGGACGGCAGATTCTTATGATTTATAATTCTCTGGCGTCGACTTTACAAAGAAAATACGCTTACGGACATAACAGATGCCGTCATTCCATACAGGTAACATATTTATGAACATATATATAGAGTTGTTTTGGTAAAGGTCACTGAGGAGAGCCCCTCTTTGTGGGTACACATTTCGAATAATCCTTCATGAAAATGATAGTTTATAGTTGATAGAGGTCTGCAAAATGGTTGTTTTCGTGTTTGTTTTTTTAACGCTGCGGTAGGGAATATACCAGCTATATGGCGGTGATATGTAAATCGAGTCCAGTGATTGATATAATGGTGTTTCGATTTTGGCTGTTGGGATACGATGGCTACATCAATCAGGTCACCGAGCCTGACCATCCGATCCCGTTTTAAATACGATAACTATGCTTTGGCCATTCTGTGACTTATCTATCATACGTTCATATAAGTTATCTGTTGTTTTATGAAGCAACAACGAAATAATATCCCTTTTCCATTCCAGAATTTCTGTTTTTAGGCGTTTACAGAAAGATAGCATTTGAATAACAGGAACAATGTTACGTTTACCACTTTGCGAAACTTGGTGCTGACAATCCTAATTACATTCAACAAAACGAGATTGTATTGTAAACATGTGTTTATCATCATCATCATCATCATCATCTCAACTAAGAGCTTATATAGCGCAAGAATCCAGTCAGTATAACTGCTCTTAAGCGCATTGAGAGGATGCATGTCACATGTATCAGCAATGTCCACTCGGTCTAGGCGTATGTCTTTGAGAAAAGGTGGTTTTAAAAGTGGCCAAGTTATTTATAAGTCTGAGTTTTAATGGCAGATCATTCCAGGTGGTGGTCCTTGCCTGTGGAACACACAGCATGCCTTGTCCCATGGATCTAAGAGACCTCGCGGGCTTGTACTCCTGGAGAAGTTCCTGGAGATGCACAGGGGCTAGGCCTGTCCTTGCTTTGAAGGTTAACAGGAGCACTTTATAAGTGATTCTTTCCGCCACCTTCAACCAATGAAATTTCTTTAACACTGGAGAAATGTGGCTGGTGTTTAAACCACGCTTTCGTTGTCGCTCCATTACTTTACACTTTATTAATCCATCTGAAACGGTCAATTGTCTCGTATGTCATAAAACACTTTGGGGGCGGTGGGGTAGCCTAGTGGTTAAAGCGATCGCTCGTTACGCAGAAGACCCGGGTTTGATTCCTCACATGGGTACAATGTGTGAAGCCCATTTCTGGTGTCCCCTTGTGATGTTGGAATATTGCTAAAAGCGACGTAAAACCAAACTCACTGACTCTCTTAATCTTTCAGTTGCTATATGTTTTGTCTCTTAACTTGTTTTGACGGAACAGCTCAATAGCCCTAATTCTATATTGCTGTGTCAACCCACGTTAGACAAAAGCACCTACATCAACCAAAACAGTTTTTATGAAGCACAAATACATTATATTTACAGCTGGCGTGATTAGTTGCTATGGGTACGTCAACGATAGAATGATATATTCATATCTATACATGGTCATAAACAGGTTTATGGTTCTGTTAATATATATTCACTCTAAGCGAACCCATTTCTGAATCCGACATTCAACGACAGTGACATACTGATCAGTAACGTCCCATATGCTGGACGAGGAAACAGCTCCACACAATAAATGTCAGATGAACATTTCTTTGTCAGGTGACATGTGAGGGAATGAAACGTGTTCTAACAATCGGCATTGTTCGTGGAGATATTTTAAATATAAGTAATAAAGTATCCAACAGCGCTTTCTACTTTTTGAATCAAATATAAAATGTCTTAGGATAACAATAAAATTGCGCAAATACCTTTCCATAATCTAAAATTTTCATCTGCCACTAGAATAGAGTGTCTTGTACGATTCCACTGTGTTATGAGCATGACGGTCTTTTAATAATAATAATAATAAATGGATATTTCTTATGCGCCATAGTCCATCCAGAGCATGCTCAAAGTGCTACATATAAAAAGAGTCACTAGAGTTCAAGAGGAAGATATGACAATTCGTCAAAATGACCATGAGACTATTTCGCAGTTATAGGTTGTAGACTTTTTTGAAGAGGAAGGTTTTGAGTCCCGATATGAATGCTTCTAAGGGTGAAGCATTTTTTATGGGTGTAGGAAGACTGTTCCATAGGGTTGGTGCTGCAAATTTGAATGACCTATGGCCAAAGTGTTTGAGACGAACTTGGGGAACTGAGAGAAGATGTTGATTCTGAGAGCGGAGAGAACGGGCAGACATATATGTTGACAACATCTCAGAGAGGTATGGAGGAGCTGTTTTAGTGGTCAAACAGGCAATTTCCCTTCCACTGATATGCCCAAATGAACAAAAATCAAAACCAATAAAACCGCAACATCTGTTTTGCATTTAGAAACATGAGTGACAAATGAAGAGACTCTATGAGAGAGTAAGTGATTTAAGATTTTACATCGCATGGGCAATATTACAGCCACATAGCGATGAAAACAAGGTAATCAATTTAAAATATATGTCGACAAAGGACAGTAAAACCAACTAGACTATCACAAATATATATTTAAAACTTGTAATTAAATCTAAAATACTCTAACTATAGAGGACGATACAATATAAAAAAACAAGCTATAGATCGCCAACAACTGAAGGTAGATCACCATAGCAGGGACCATGGGGACTTACAGTACCTTTGCTACCTGCATGGACCCTAAATGGATTTACACCATCTCTTCAGCTGCTGGCGATTGTAGGAAATATTAAGCCAGACTTTAAAAAGAACAAACATGCTTCGTTTTAAAAATCTGGTAAAAGTTTAAATATAGCTTTGAGTGTTTTGGGACTTCTGTATCCTGTCAGGAGGACAATAAGTCTACGATACTTTAACCCCCGTCGAGGATACAGCCACTAATTGACTGACTGACTGACTGAGTTTGGTTTTACGCCGCTTTTAGCAATATTCCAGCTACATCACGGCGGGGGAACACCAGAAATGGGCTTCACACATTGTACCCATGTGGGGATTCGAACCCGGGTCTTCGGCGTGACGAGCGAACGCTTTAACCACTAGGTTACCCCAACGCCCCACAGCCACTTACAATCGCAGCTGCTAATTATACTACAATGTTTAAAATACCATTTATCTATTTGCAAAACATATTATTTCAAATTTATCAAAAATTTCTATTCCTTTAAAAAACATATTTATTAAATGCTAATTGATATTAATTAATAAAATCCTTAACTTTTTGACATCGAATGAGACTGTATGACAAGAGGTAAATTCCGGGTGACAAGAGCCAAACCAAGGTCATGGTAGGAAAGGGAGACAACTCCCTGACATGCATGAGTTCGATAAAATGATATTTTGTGAAGTCGTTTCAGATTTTTAGGGCTGAGGGGATTACTATGCAAACATAAAACATGGTATTATTGGCAACAATAATTATTGTTGAAAACTACATTTCTACATGTCCCAGAAACAAAACGTATTAGTGTATTCTCATCGAAAAACAAAGTTCACCCAAATATCCCAAGGTTTAGTAATAGGGCCCTTCGTAGTCCCAGCATATACAGTCAAACACCTTCATGTCGAATCTTGATGTGTCGAACGTACGGTTGACTCGAAGTAAATAGTCGTTCCCCGTCGTTTTCATTCGTTATGCAATTATATGTAGGTTGTGTCGAACGTCGGATAAGTCCAAGAATTTACTGCTTTTAGTGTGTATGATATTTGACTAATATTCGTAAGAATTCATCTCGTGTATTTACTGCTGACTTAAATGAATAGTTTTTAATTCAACTCAACCAATACCAAGTTAGTTTCACTACTTTAGTCCACATCCTTGTGAAAACCATATTCTATGTATGTAAACATGTTATACATACATATCTAAGCCTGGAGCAGTGTGAATGTACAATTATGTAGATGTAAGATCAATGTACCATGTAAATACGTTTGGCTCTGTTTTGTCCTGTTCTGAAGACACCTTCAACCATAGTGAGTGAGTGAGTTTAGTTTTACGCTGCACTCAGTAATATTCCAGCTATGTGGCGGCGGTCTGTAAATAATCGAACCTGGACCAGACAATCCAGTGATCAACAGCATGAGCATCGATCGACACGATTGGGACACGATGGAATGCATCAACCAAGTTTTTCGCCTCTTACGACAAGCATGGATTGCTGTAGACCAATTCTAACCCGGATCTTCACGGGTCTCCTACAATGGCATGACAGAGGGTAAATTCCGGGTGATTTGAACCACGACAGTGAGTTGAACTAGACCACAAATTGTGGCACATTTGTTCACAGTTGGTGTACACTGGACCTTTACCAAAGAAGTAAAAACTGACATAACACGCACCTTTCCTGGTTATATAAAACATCAATATCTAAATCACACTAAATTCAGTCGCAACGGAAACACCTTTCAAATTCCATTGTATCTAAATAATTTAATATCAATTTGTTCAAAACACGTATAAAGTATTCATACGTGCGACAATGGGTTCGATTCTCATCAGTGAGTGAGTGAGTTTTAGTATTACGCCGCATTTTTAGCAATATTCCAGCAATATCACGACGGGGTACATCAGAAACGGGGTTCACAGATTGTACCCATGTGGGGAATCGAACCCGGGTCTTCGGCGTGACGAGGGAACGCTTTGACCACTAGGCTACCCCACCGCCCCTCGATTCTCATCAGGGTACACGACGTGATGGTCAATGTTCACGTGAAATACGTCACGGAGACACCCCACTTACTATACTACCACAACACAAAATCCAGCCATACCATTACCGACACAAACCTACCTGTAAACTGTACTGTGCAGGCCGCAGTCCTTGCTACCCAAAGATTTGTCTGTGAGAGTTATGCACAGTTCAGCTTCCAAAAACTACTCACTTTGGTATGAGGGACGCGCTTGACGTTGCACAACTCCCTCTAGCGGCCGCGCTCAGGTCGTCATCAACCTATTATATACCCTCGTGCATCACGCATTGTAACTGACAAGGGGGTGACGTACATCAACATCTCACGTGTTGTCATAGTGACAGACAAGATTGATACCTGTCTGATTATTTAAGCTCTTCCTATGAGTAAGTTGGCGCACCTTGAAACGTTTTTTTTAGTTTGAAAACCTTGTGAAATATTGCTTTCACCTCCGCTTTTAAAATTAGTTCTGTAAGTAAGTAAGTAAGTAAGTAAGTAAGTAAGTAAGTAAGTAAGTAAGTAAGTAAGTAAGTAAGTAAGTAAGTAAGTAAGTAAGTAAGTAAGTAAGTAAGTAAGTAAGTAAGTAAGTAAGTAAGTAAGTAAGTAAGTAAGTAAGTAAGTAAGTAAGTAAGTAAGTAAGTAAGTAAGTAAGTAAGTAAGTAAGTAAGTAAGTAAGTAAGTAAGTAAGTAAGTAAGTAAGTAAGTAAGTAAGTAAGTAAGTAAGTAAGTAAGTAAGTAAGTAAGTAAGTAAGTAAGTAAGTAAGTAAGTAAGTAAGTAAGTAAGTAAGTAAGTAAGTAAGTAAGTAAGTAAGTAAGTAAGTAAGTAAGTAAGTAAGTAAGTAAGTAAGTAAGTAAGTAAGTAAGTAAGTAAGTAAGTAAGTAAGTAAGTAAGTAAGTAAGTAAGTAAGTAAGTAAGTAAGTAAGTAAGTAAGTAAGTAAGTAAGTAAGTAAGTAAGTAAGTAAGTAAGTAAGTAAGTAAGTAAGTAAGTAAGTAAGTAAGTAAGTAAGTAAGTAAGTAAGTAAGTAAGTAAGTAAGTAAGTAAGTAAGTAAGTAAGTAAGTAAGTAAGTAAGTAAGTAAGTAAGTAAGTAAGTAAGTAAGTAAGTAAGTAAGTAAGTAAGTAAGTAAGTAAGTAAGTAAGTAAGTAAGTAAGTAAGTAAGTAAGTAAGTAAGTAAGTAAGTAAGTAAGTAAGTAAGTAAGTAAGTAAGTAAGTAAGTAAGTAAGTAAGTAAGTAAGTAAGTAAGTAAGTAAGTAAGTAAGTAAGTAAGTAAGTAAGTAAGTAAGTAAGTAAGTAAGTAAGTAAGTAAGTAAGTAAGTAAGTAAGTAAGTAAGTAAGTAAGTAAGTAAGTAAGTAAGTAAGTAAGTAAGTAAGTAAGTAAGTAAGTAAGTAAGTAAGTAAGTAAGTAAGTAAGTAAGTAAGTAAGTAAGTAAGTAAGTAAGTAAGTAAGTAAGTAAGTAAGTAAGCCTTCATAGATTGTAGTACGGTACACTTGCATGCCCTACAATGTACATAAAAGTCTCTGTATGGATTTGTTTTAGGGCTGGGAGGGGTAACCCGGATACCCGGGACGGGTGGGTAATGAGTTGGACCCGGGTACCCGTCTCAATACCCGGACCTCTTATGATCATGTGACTAAAAGGTTAAACAATGTAACATGTTATTTTTTCATGATTAAACGGTTGTATTGTCTTTGAAGATTTAGACATAATTACAGTCACTTCTTTTGAATATAATACAAATTAAAAAAACCATAAAAAAAACCCAAAAGAGTAATGAGGACTAATTATTCAGTCTGGATAGTTTGGGGGGAGATTGTGAACCTGGCTTTCGCCAAGATGTGCATGAGCAATCATAACTGTTCCTCTGATCGAATATGGCTGAGACGTTGCCGAGGTGACGTTAAATTATAACTCACTCACTCACTCATCTAATGGAAAGCAGGAGTATTAACATGCCTACTCCATGTTTTATGCCGAGCGCCAGCCAGGTTGACAACACCTTATTTGGTATGACACAGTAAGGCAATGGAACCATCGGCCTCCAGCTCTCTGGGTAGGCTCCAGCCACAACACACCACAGAGCCCGTCCTCTCCACATATCGTCACAGTTACCTCCTTCCCGAGCACTTCCTAGCCTTAGAACGGAATAGTTCTAACTGCACGAACATTCCATGTATATTCATGTATTTGACGAATCACCCCTTGGGTGATATCTGTATGCCATGTACATCTAAATTAAGATACATCGTTTCTCCAAAAACTCCAAAGAGAAGTTTATTGTTACTGAAAAAATAACCAAACCAAATGATACATCCGCTATTTACATATTTTTGATGACAACTGGGTGAGAAATGAGTAACATTTTTTTGAATCTTACATTGTAAAAGGTGTTAAAATATTAATTATGAGCATAAAATATCAGGCATGTGGTGTTGTCATGAATGATCGACATCTCACATTATTTCGAGAAAATATGAACAGCATCAAAAGTAGACATATGAATTCAATTCAATCAACTTAACAAAACTTACCCGACGCACAAACCCAACCTCACGAGTCTCTGTACAAACACCAGGTGTCCAGGGGCTTGTAAAACGAATGCACATACACACACCCCACCCCTACACCCCCCCCCCCACACCTCCTGTGAGTAAGAAGCGTAATCTCAACAGTGATGTGATGTGATGTGAGGTGATGAGAGATGCTGAGAGGTGAGGTGAGGTGAGGTTAGGTAGAAATTGGGTTTAACGTCTACTACACTGACAACATAACGACGTTCAAAACTAAAGTAGACTGACCAGAAAAATGAGGCGTGTACGTGTGTGTGAAGCGCTTCTTCTCAGTGCATGACTAAACGTTTTGCCTGAGTCATTATGGGAGACGGTTAATTCAAGAACGTGACTCGTGATATCCATCATGAGTTGTTTCAAGAACTCCGAATGCGAATATTGTCGTTTAGACGAGCCAGGTGCAGACTGACAAACATAGGTTGTACAAAAAGGAAACAATGAGCTTGGGGATCGTCTTGTAACATTTTTGTGAGTGAGTCGAAATGATTTAGGGTTGTCAAAATACTTACGCTCGTCGTTCATCATCAACTAGCAATACATGACAGGGGGGAAACAAGACAAGGCTGTATTTTGTAAAACAGTATTCCAGCAATACATGACAGGGGAAACTAAGACAAGGTAGTATTTTGTAAAACAGTATTCCAGCAATACATGACAGGGGAAACTAGACAAGGCAGTATTTTGTAAAAAAGTATTCCAGCAATACATGACAGGGGAAACTAGACAAGGCAGTATTTTGTAAAGCAGCATTCCAGCAATACATGACAGGGGAAACTTGAGACAAGGTAGTATTTTGTAAAGCAGCATTCCAGCAATACATGACAGGGGAAACTAGAGAAGGTAGTATTTTGTAAAGCAGTATTCCAGCAATACATGACAGGGGAAACTAGACAAGGCAGTATTTTGTAAAACAGTATTCCAGCAATACATGACAGGGGAAACTAGACAAGGTAGTATTTTGTAAAACAGTATTCCAGCAATACATGACAGGGGAAACTAGAGAAGGTAGTATTTTGTAAAACAGTATTCCAGCAATACATGACAGGGGAAACTAGACACGGCAGTATTTTGTAAAACATTATTCCAGCAATACATGACAGGGGAAACTAGACAAGGTAGTATTTTGTAAAACAGTATTCCAGCAATACATGACAGGGGAAACTAGAGAAGGTAGTATTTTGTAAAGCAGTATTCCAGCAATACATGGCAGGGGAAACTAGACACGGCAGTATTTTGTAAAGCAGTATTCCAGCAATACATGGCAGGGGAAACTAGACACGGCAGTATTTTGTAAAGCAGTATTCCAGCAATACATGACAGGGGAAACTAGAGAAGGTAGTATTTTGTAAAACAGTATTCCAGCAATACATGACAGGGGAAACTAGAGAAGGTAGTATTTTGTAAAGCAGCATTCCAGCAATACATGACAGGGGAAACTAGACAAGGTAGTATTTTGTAAAACAGTATTCCAGCAATACATGACAGGGGAAACTAGAGAAGGTAGTATTTTGTAAAACAGTATTCCAGCAATACATGACAGGGGAAACTAGAGAAGGTAGTATTTTGTAAAGCAGCATTCCAGCAATACATGACAGGGGAAACTTGAGAAGGTAGTATTTTGTAAAGCAGCATTCCAGCAATACATGACAGGGGAAACTTGAGAAGGTAGTATTTTGTAAAGCAGTATTCCAGCAATACATGACAGGGGAAACTAGAGACAGGGTAGTATTTTGTAAAACAGTATTCCAGCAATACATGACAGGGGAAACTAGAGAAGGTAGTATTTTGTAAAACAGCATTCCAGCAATACATGACAGGGGAAACTAGAGAAGGTAGTATTTTGTAAAACAGTATTCCAGCAATACATGACAGGGGAAACTTGAGAAGGTAGTATTTTGTAAAACAGTATTCCAGCAATACATGGCAGGGGAAACTAGAGAAGGTAGTATTTTGTAAAGCAGTATTCCAGCAATACATGACAGGGGAAACTAGAGAAGGCAGTATTTTGTAAAACAGTATTCCAGCAATACATGACAGGGGAAACTAGAGAAGGTAGTATTTTGTAAAACAGCATTCCAGCAATACATGACAGGGGAAACTTGAGGTAGTAGGTAGTATTTTGTAAAACAGTATTCCAGCAATACATGACAGGGGAAACTAGACAAGGCAGTATTTTTGTAAAACAGCATTCCAGCAATACATGACAGGGGAAACTAGAGAAGGCAGTATTTTGTAAAAGCAGTATTCCAGCAATACATGGACAGGGGAACTAGACAAGGCAGTATTTTGTAAAGCAGTATTCCAGCAATACATGACAGGGGAAACTAGAGAAGGTAGTATTTTGTAAAACAGTATTCCAGCAATACATGACAGGGGAAACTAGACAAGGTAGTATTTTGTAAAGCAGTATTCCAGCAATACATGACAGGGGAAACTAGAGAAGGTAGTATTTTGTAAAACAGTATTCCAGCAATACATGACAGGGGAAACTAGACAAGGTAGTATTTTGTAAAGCAGCATTCCAGCAATACATGACAGGGGAAACTAGAGAAGGTAGTATTTTGTAAAACAGTATTCCAGCAATACATGACAGGGGAAACTAGAGAAGGCAGTATTTTGTAAAACAGTATTCCAGCAATACATGACAGGGGAAA